TACAAAACAGCAGACTGCTGACAATGAAGATCTGTAGAGGGTTGATACATCAGTAAGCTGCTCTGGGGCGAAGGACAGTATCCTACAGTGAGAAGTTAAGAGCGTATACATACAGGACGACGACCATAGACTTGGCTTATTGGGCCCCAGAACGTAGACGAAATACCCATGAATGCCAGGTAGAGAGCATTGCTAGCGTTGATGATATCTCCATCGGTTCCGAAAGTCTTTCCAACTTCAGGAACGGCTATAAGAATTGCAGTAGAAGAGATGGGGGCGAGGAAAGCGCAGTATGAGATGATAGAAATAATTGTGATCTTGCGAGCTGGCGAGAAACGCTTGTATTGCTCTGAGTTCTCGTCGTCGGACTCATCGGTAACTTGGGGCAGGTCTTGGTTGGTGAGGTTGCTTGGGACTTGTACAAGAGTATTGGGAGTCCCCGGGGGCTCTCCATACTCTGACCGCGGTCTTTGTGCCTCCTCGGGTGGCAGCTGTGTCATGGAAGAATTTCTTGAGCATCCTTCCTCTGCCGTGCCAGAGGGGTTTTGTTTTGATCTTGAACCGAAGACTTTGAGCATTGTGCTGGGTCAATCGGAGAAAAGGGAAGAAGGAGAGACGAGAAGAGAAGAGAAAAGAGAAAGGCAAAAGACTTGTTTTTGGATGACAGTGGATGGAAAAGACGTCTCTTCAGGAATGTTCGGAGTTTTAAAAGAGATTGTAGGAGTCAAGAGGAACGGAAGATTTTTCTATCTTTTAATAGATCAATCCATGAAACGAATGTAAACTCAAGAATCGTACAAAAATGATAAAACAGGGAATAAGAATCAACAACGAGAGGACATGCTTTGACAAGAGGAACCCAAGGGAAATCAAGAGCGAATGACAAGAGATTTAACGCAATATCGAGCTTAAATGTCAAGAAAAAATAGTCCGACGCCTCCTTTGTCGAGATCGAAGCTTGCGTGTTGCGAAAAGCAAGTGCCCATTTTTGCAATGACTATCATCACATCATTAAAACATGGAATGTGCCTAGACCATAGCCGAAAACCGACTGGGCGAAAGCTTGACCTCCAGCAAACCAAAAGGGTAGTGTGGTTCACCATAAGGGACAAGCGTAAACTCCTAGCAGACCCAATGATCCGCGCATACAGTGGACTCATCATTGCCACTATATGTTCGGGAGAGGGTCCGGGAACGCATAGCTTGGCTTCGAAGTGGGCACGGGATCGACAGATTAGCGCTCCACCGGGTCCATAGGATGGCCAACGGTATCAAAAAGGGATTGCACGAGGTTGAGGTATAAAACAAAAGAAACGGGGACGCATCATCCCACAGGGGTGGATACATACAAAGCGGTAGTATACATGGCGCTGGGTACCGCGGCGCCAAGTCGTTTCGGCTTTTCGGCGTACGGAAACACCCGTTAGACTAGCCGGGTCTTAGTCCCAGGGGCGCACGCGGTTGGGCGGAAATGCGACAATTAATACGCCGCTCACGCGCATCGAATAATAGAGCTGAGAGCCAGCCAGGAGGCAAATTCGGGATCCCGAGATTTTTACTGACTCCGAACGGTAATTTTCGCTTTTTTGATTATTCTCGCATTGTTCATTTTTCTTTTCCTTTTCCTCTTCCCTATTCCCTGTCAGTCTTAATTTGTCGTCTGGTCCATGCGTAGATGTGGAAAGGGGGAGAGGAAAGAGGCAACAATAGAAAACACCGCGGAAAAGGAAAAAAAAAAAAAAAAAGTAACAAACTACCTGAAACTCGATGAATCGGAGAATCACATTCTTCCTTTGGTTTCACAACATCATTGGCGATACAGCATGTAAGAAATGACGTCTTTTCTTCAAACTTCTCCAAAATGAGGAAAGTTAAAAGAACGAGAGAATAATTGCAACATACTCTGAGTTCCAATCCATTTTCGTCCCTCGTCGGAAAAGTAAATCTTGGTGCCGAATTTGTCCGTTGATTCGCAGTCTGGTGGCATCATCCATGGTTGAACCTGCGGTGGCCAGCTGAGACGATAGTACCAGTCGGAGTATACATAGCATACTTTCTCACACTCTGGATACGGGCATAGAACTTGAGCAATGAGAGAGCTATCGAACTTCCATGCTCGTCCTTGGACCAAGCAACAAAATGCGCGAGGAATTTACCCGTGGGCATGGAGATTTCCCTCACGACTATGTGTCGGAATCCCAAAAGCAAGCTCTGTGTGCCTGAAATCCAACGCGTGTATGGTGGGCTGCGAGTGGTTTGAGTTGAACGCAAAGTGATCTACCGTAAAGCCAGCAAAGAAGAAGGAATTATGCCATTGCATAAGTGTCTGGGCCGTGGAAGAGCATCAGGCACGTCTGATAAGATTTTCGATTCGTCCATCATTCAAAAAAAAAGCTTGACTCGATCTACTCCCGTTGACCGATGCTTCAGCCTCTGATTTGTTTGATTTGATGCTGGAAGATTCTCGTCGCATTTATCAGCTCAAAAAGCAACTATCATGGTCCCTTGTCATGTTGTGTCGATGCCCCTTTCTATTCGCCTCTGCGATCCGGGTCGCGTCACATGGGAGGTAGGCGATACAGCCAACGGAATCTGGTACATTGTATGATAGCATTGTACTCTGTAGCAAACTTAGAATGAACAGTAGTGGCAGAATGGAAGAGCATTGAGGGAGTGTTGAGTGCGCGCGTGAGGGTGTGTCGTGTCCAAGGCGGGGAACTGCGATCTGCCGCCTGATGACGTCGGGACGCTTGGCGTGACTTGGGAAACCTCAACATTCTCAATCTCACCTCACACATTTATCCTTTTCCTCCCTCATACGCTCTATCGCACCTTTTCTCTCCTTCAGTGCTTCTCAGCCACTCGATTCAGTAACGATTCAGTATCACTTTTCTTTGTCATTCGTATCATTATCCACACTCTACGTCTCTCCTGCCTACCCCCTATTTTGAGACTTCCGAAGCGCCATCCCACCGCCAACATGACTTCCAAGGATCCACAAAGCAATATTCCTGCTTCCAGCAGAGGCTCTTGGTCGAGTTTCCTCAAGGTGAGTGTGCACTTGCACATGAATTCTATGATGTATTCGCTCCGGAAGCAAAACTTGTAAAAACTCTATCCCAGCACAAGTGGCATGTGGCATCACCATGTTCCTCCGATGTCAACCCTCTGTTCCGGACCCCGTGGAGTTAATACCGCACTTGTTGGAAACCATCACGGCTGATCCTTATGATTTCATCTTCCTAGTCTATTGCCTCTTTCTCTGGAGATCTTTCCTCGTTGACCGCTCCACCGTTTATCCTCTCCTCCACTTCCTTGACGGAATACTCTGCGTATTGGGCCGAGCACCCGTCTTTGTTCGTTGCCCCGGCCAAGGAGACCGACCCTGAGAAGAGGGCCCTCGCTGTTCTCAAGTGGTTCTTGAGCACCCTTCGCCAGCAGTACTGCAGTCGCAGCGAGAAGTTGGGTAGCGAGAAGAAGCCGCTCAACCCGTTCCTGGGAGAACTCTTCCTTGGAAAGTGGGATTCCGATGCCGATGTGGGCGAGACGAAGTTATACAGTGAGCAAGTTAGGTTCGTCACGTCGGCACACTGGCCCTTTTGAGACCGTCGGGAAATTGACATATGCTCCAGCCACCACCCTCCGGTTACCGCCTATGCAATTTCGAACGACAAACACGGGGTCGAGGTGAGTCGGCAGAAGCCGCCCATTGTTACTAAACAGAAAAAGAAAAACCCGATCAACTAATAGTCAAACTCAGTTGCAAGGATACAATGCTCAAAAGGCTTCGTTCTCTAGCACCATTCAGGTGAAGCAGCTGGGACATGCGCTGCTCTCAGTCACCCCACCGGGGGCGGACAAGAACGACCCGGCTCAGCAAGAGAAATTCTTGATTACTCTACCCACTCTGCACATTGAATCCCTGATCTACGGTACTCCGTTCGTCGAGCTGGAGAAGTCCACCAAGATTGCCAGCAGTACCGGTTACGTTGCGAAGATCGACTACTCCGGCAAGGGTTGGTTGAGTGGCAAGAAGAATACCTTCACTGCCAGCTTGTACAAGGAGAGCGAGGGAGAGAAGAAGCCTTTGTACACCGTCGACGGACAATGGTCCGATTCGTTTACCATCAAGAACGCTCGCGCCAAGGAGGAAGTAGAAAGGTACGTAGTGAAGGACAGCAAGACCACGCCTTTGCAGTTGGCATCGCTCGAAGAGCAAAGCATCTTCGAGAGTCGGCGTGCATGGCAGCATGTCGCAGCTGCTATTGAGCGAGGCGACATGGACGCGACATCCGCGCACAAATCTCGCATTGAAAATGCGCAGCGTGAGATGCGCAAGATTGAGAAGGCCGAGAACCGTGAATGGGAGCGACGGTTCTTCAACCGTGTCAACGAGAACGATGATGAGACCTTCCTGCAGCTTGCCAGGATGCTCCAGATCACTGGAAGCCTTGACACCGACAAGACTAACGGTGTCTGGCGATTTGATCGGGAACAGGCGGTCACTGCCCAGCCACCGTACCACAATGTTGGCGGCGAGGCGCTCGGGTTAACCCAGTGATTCGGGATAAAGGACCGATTCCTGACTTAGGTCTTTTTTTTTTTTTTTTTTTCTTTTTCTAAACTTTGTTTCTTGTCTCTGTGTGCGTTGACGTTTGACAATAGAAGGGGGCTACTAGCTGTATTGCGTTATTGTTTTTTTTTTTTTTTTTTTTTTGGATTTCCTTCACTTTTACCGTCTTGGTTTCTATTTCGGTTTTTTTGCCTGCGGTCCTTGTACATAGGAACGAATACTGTGGATATAATAGCTTCGGCAGCGGAAACAACAGAATGCCACTGCGTGCTCCGTACATATGGCAAGAAGGTTAGAATGAATCATAATAACCGATGATTGTCATAATACGCCGGAACACGACGGTCTAGAAGTCCCGTATAGAGTACGAATTCCTATTTCACACCTGTCAATCCCGACAGCACGACCAAATTGACAGCTCTGATTGCAGAAAAGACAACAGCATTACGATGAATTATGATCCTCCCATTGCATATCCGCACAAAAATCCCCTATGGTCCGGAAAACTCTGGGGCCTATAAGGACCTCCCTAAACCAGCTATGATCTACTGGGGATGATCTAAGCGACCCCAAACCGACCCCCATAAATCGACGACCATCACCGTCCATCATCGCTCATCACCACATCCACTCGACAAGCAGGGACCCAGTATTCAGCTGGATCATGCAATACATCCTGCATAATGTGATCAGTCGGGATGATCGCTGGTATTGGCAAAGTCTTAGCATTTGCTTAGCATGATTGTCGTTAGAACACAGGTAAACTAATGCAGTTATTCTGCTGCTCTGCAGGACTGATACTAATCTACTCAGTTGGGGGGAAAAGAAGAAGAAGAAGAAGATAAATAAAAAATAATAAATAAAAAAGCAGTAGCCATAGCCACATCGTACTCCACGTATCAAACCTTCAGGTACCCTCAGGTACAGACGTATTTTCCTCCATTCCCGGGCGTTCCGGACAGGAGTGAAATATAAAATGACACGGGCAGAAAACTTGATCACGAACCCTGACAAACACATGTTATTGGACAGAACAGCCGCAGCCAAAAATGGAAACACCATTTCCGTGTCGGGACGTGGTCCACATACTCTTTTGGGATAAGTTGAGGACCATGGAATCAGGGGGATTGCATCAGAGGGAAAGGTGATCATTATTGGCTTAGCGAGGTTTATTCTTGCCGCATCATTGTATGGCATTCTGGCATTCGTTGTGGTTTGCTTGCCTGTATTTCTAATGCAATCAGTCGACGATGATGATGGCAATTGTGTACAAGCAACCCTCGGGCAGTCGACGAAGACATGAAAAACTAGCGCCACCTTGAGAGGTTTTGCTCAACATGGCATTCTACCTCTGCCTGTCAAGATGATAACGTCCACCACCGGCATCTGTCATGACTGATCAGTGCATGTGGTCATTCTCCCTATGTCCATCAGCGTTGACAAAGCGGTGCGTGGTGCTAACGCTTCTGCTGAGCGAGGACAAGGATATTTCGCACCAAGCCACCAACTCTTAGTTCATCGCTGACTCGCCCTTGTCACTCTACTAGATGCGTGGTCACTATCGTGCCTTCTGCGAACATTTCAGCCAACTGGTCCTTTTATGGAGCTCATTCGAAAGTGACATTCAAGAAGAAGAGCAGTCTCGGAGCGAGCCCCTTCTCCTACAGAGGTCTTGACTCTGGTAGTCGCTTTGTGCCAATAATTGCGACAACTTTACGTCCTGAGGGACCGGGAAGTGAGGGGATTCGTGTGTGAACCGGGCCTTTCGATATACAACCTGAACAGCAAATGGATAACAATTGTTGAAGCGCGTGGTAGTCCAGGAGGAAAACCTGGTGTCTCGTTCAAGCGTGTTATCGGGAAGTGGACAGACTTTTATGTCAATACGGATAGTATCTGAGAGGGAGGCACTATTTGAGAAACAGGTTTCGTCGTATATTGGTAAACCATATTTGGCTTTGTCTACATACTGTATTTCGAGATATTTCCGTATTGCACCAAGAATACCTTTCCCGACCACGGTCCACACGCCCGTATGAGATCCCTTTTAGAAGGTGTTGCTCTTGAGAGTAAACACCCGGACGCTACTCAACACGCTGCTATATCTTCAAGAGCTTCGCTCGATCACTTGTCTGATGCCTCGCTACAAGTCCGGAATTACTTGGTTCGACGATGATGTGTTCATTGGCTCCGAAATCACTTTTCCGGGGAACGCGTCTCGCTGGAAACTCGAGCGAAAGATAAACGAACGTGAATCCTGTCAAAAAGAAGAAGACGTGAAAAAGGCAGGGCTTGTATTTGAGGGGCGTGCGGTGTTCGCTGCTTCGAATGTTGATGATTCGTTCCCAGGGGAAGAAGCCATCATCAAGATTAAAATGCAGTATGACCTCTCCCAACCTAAATGCTCTTCCATCCCTTTCTCTTCTTCATTCCCTCGCATCGTTTGCTTTTATTCTAAGATGAAGGAATAGGATACCTTGGTGGTCCACGGCTAGCAAGCCACCTACAATCCGAGCTGAGCAAGCTACTGAAAAACTGAGCATTATGACTGCAAATGAGATTAAAGCTTTGGATCTCCTCACCAATACAGGGTGCTCAGGTACTCCCACACTATATTCATGGCGCCAGGGAAAGCAGAACGATAAAATATGAGTTCCAAGTGGTCACATAACGTACATTCTCATGGGGAAACTTCCTGGGACTGAGATAAGTGATTTCTTCAATGACCTTGGTAGAAAAGAACGAGACGAGTTTCGAGCGGCATTTAAAGAAGCATGGTTGTGAGTCTTACCTTCTCTCAAATTTTCTAGATTCTGCGTGTCTGACACGGCCGCCAGAGAATGCATTGATTGTGGAATCGTCCATGGAGATTCAGCTATCCAGAATATCCTCTGGGATTGAGAGGACAAGAAATGGTAAGGCTCGTGTTTGCTTGCACATCTCACAAGAAACTAATTGTGCTGTTGTGAATAGTTATTGAATCGATTTCGAGCTGTATTACTCTGCTAGAAGTGACGATAAATGGGATGATTTTATATACTGTTCGTAGAACTTGGCTTGCAGTTTCTATGGTGATCCTGACGATATGTCCACATGGGAGCTCTAATTCAGGGCCAGTTTATTTTCGGTTCATGTTGTTCCTTGAGATTGTTGCATTGTTCCACGCTGTTCTTCATTGGTGTGTTACAAGCCATACTGGCGATTATACATGAGCTTTCCTGTTTCAGTCTCTTTGCAATTGGGGAGATATATCGCAGAAGAATGCATGACTTTGCAAGCCTTCTTCTGGTTGGTGCTACGTACATGCATACACTCTTAGGTTCTTTCCTTTTATGTTCTTCCATTCCTATGTGACGATGCTTTCGACTTGTCATCGCAAATCCCAACTTATAGGCCGGTCTCGAGTACAGAACGAACACTCCGTAAAATTGTCCCCCCGCTGCGTAACCCATCCTTTGGAGCAACAGAACATCCCCCCACCCCATATTTAAAGTTCTTACCTGAATCAACCAAACCCCAACCAAACACCATAAATCAGCACATCCTTTACTCCTTCGCGGTAGTCCCTCATGTGCACAAAGTATCTGAGTAAGCGCAATCCTGGCGGAGATCTGATGGATTTTATTGGCTGTCCTGGTGGTCGATCAGGGTGCTGAGATCTGCCGCTAGGAACTAGTAGTAGGTGGGCACGTGAGATGTTTCATACAACCCCTCTTTGTACTACTCTATGGAGTATGTAGATTCATGCTGTAGACTATGGGGAAGTATGATGGAAGGATTCTATACATGTTGTCAGTGGCGGTAGAAAGATATTCGTTGCCTGCCAAGCATCGGGGGGTATTGCCATTGGCAGTGGCAAGATGACGATACCCACCAAGATATATATATATATATCGCACCAACTACATACTGCCCAACCTTGGGACTTGGAGATATGCATGGAGAAAAGAAGTTTGCCCAGAAATCTTGTTTCCCTCCCATTCCGTATCGCAGTCTGATCATACGTGGCATTGGAATACATAGCACAGAAGGTCGTGACGAGTCTCGAGATCGAGACGATCGATTGATGGAAATTTGAAATATAACAAGGAAAGCCAAGCAACATAACGAAAATAAAAGACATTATGATGGATAGATGTCATGATTCGCGTCAACCAACAACAATGGTGCCTAGCATTCTCTCTTTTTCTCATTGTGATTCAGTACAGCATCATAAGGGCATAATCCTGCAAAATTCCAACATCATTTAAAAAAAAAAAAAAAAAAAAACCAGCCAAGCTCCCATTGAGAGTAGAGATTACACGCATAAAGAAAAAAAAAAAAAAAAAAAAAAAAAGACATTGACATGAAAAAAGAACAGCAAATGAAATGAGAAAAACACGTCAGAAAATAAGATGGAGGGAAAAGATGACCACGAGATTTTGTTCTCAGGCCTGCCGCCCTTAAATCAAAGCGTTAAAAAAAGCAAAAGAAAATACCCTTTTTCACCAGCCAAGGGAAGAAGTGAGAAGAGAATTCGCAATGCCATGATCCTCTTAATGGCCGTAGTTGCCTCCCCAACCACGTCCGGTGTTTCCGTAATAATTGGCAAAGCCTGCGCCACCGTAGTTACCATAGCCAGCAGCAGCCTGGTTAGCAGCCTGGTGTCCACCGAGGCCTCCCAAGCCTCCGTACTGCGGGTTCAGGTGAGGGTAAGAACCGAATCCCTGTTGACCTTGCTGAGCCTGCAGCGGGGGAAGGCCAGTTTGGGCTTGAGGCTGACCGGGCACGTTGTTGGTAGCAGAACCGGGACGGTTCGCTTGAGCAAGCGAAGGGCTGGGGCCACCGGCCTTGGAGGCATCGAAGCTCTTCGTCTCCTCAGCAGTGACCGGGGGCTGCTGGGTGATGGGCTGGCTCTGGCCAAAGCCGGGCGTGCGACCGAAAACATCCATACCGGTGCCAAACGCATTCGCACCAGCCGCCGTTTGCTGAGCTTCCGACGGCTGTGCAGATCCAGCGCGGCCGTAGACCGAGTCCCGACCCGGCATGGCCTGGTTGAAGCTGGCTGCCGTTGCAGGAGACGACGCGTGGTCGTACGAGAAGGCGTGTGGCTGACCGTACATTCCGGCCTTGCTGTAGGGTCCATACTGGCTACCATAGCCAAATTGGGAGCTGTGAGGCATGTAGTGATCTTCATACCGGCGTGCATCGTCATACATCGGACGGTTCCTGCCGTACTGTTGTTGAGTCATCTGGTTCATATACGCAGCGTAGTGAGGGTTGGAGTAGTAGGGATAGCCATATGCTCCGTAAGCATGGGCGGCGGCGGCGGCAGCAGCACTCTGGCCAGGCATGTGCTGCGCGGTGGGGGTCTGAGCGGCACCGGGCAGAGTCGGGTTGGGAGTCGTGTGGCCGCTGTTCGGAGCGTCGACATGGCCGTAGCGGCTAGGAGGCTGAGTGGTCGGGATGTGAGGTTGCACCTCAGCACCAGAGACACCGAATCCAGCGGCGGCTCGCTGGGCAACAGTGGCGTCTTGGGACTGGCCGTAGGCGCCGTAATAGTTGTAAGGAAGGCGCTGGTCAGCGGCATAGAAAGGGGAATATTCGCTGCCAGTCGTGACGGTAGGCTGGATGGGAGCCTGGTTCGCGAACGGTTCCTGGACTTGAGGTTGAGGTTGCGTGACTTGATGGCTAAAGGGGTCGTAAGGCTTGTGGGCATCGGTGTAGCGAGCAAAGTCGGCAAAGGCGTCTCCGGCCGTAGCCTGGGGAACAGGAGGAAGTCCTGGGGCAGGACGAGAAACTGTAGGGGTCTCAGTTGGCCCCTGGGGTTGTGTCGAGGGAGGCAACGAGGCACGAGGAGCAACGGGAGAGTGTTGAGGGGGCTGAGCACGGGTTTCAGCTTCTTCTCTGGTTTCATCAACGTCGACAGGAGCAGCATCGCCATTCAATCCCATGCTACCAAACTGCACAGCGGCACGGTCGACGGCGTGGTTTCCAGGCATCACAACAGCTTCCTGCTGTTCCATGACGCGACGCTGGAAGCCGGGGGCACGGCCGCTCTTCACGGCACTGGCGGGGTACATAGAGGGAGTTCCCCGCGAAGGCGTGGCGTTGTTGTTCTGATCCAACGCACTTCCCACAACACTAGCTGCCGTAGCAGTCGGGGCCGGGTGAGAGGCATCTGGAATCTGTTCGAGGTTCGTCCTCGTCAAATCGTCCGCGGCAGGCGTAACATCGGAGGTGGAGACCACAGGAGTGGCGGCGTCTGTGGTAGTAGTCGTTGTAGGAGCGGAAGGAGTAGTAGCACTAGGAGGAGCAACCTTGGGGATCGCTGGGGGGATCGCTGGTTCGGGAGCTTTTTCCACTGGAGCGGGAGCGGGAGCGGGAGTGGGAGTTGTAGCCGCAGGAGCAGCGGGGGTAGTCTCGGGTTCAGGTTCGGGTTCAGGCGCTTTCTGCTGCTCCGCTGCAGGTTCTGCCGGAGGTGCTTCAGAGGAAACGGGTGGTGCTGCTGGTGGTGCGGCAGCTGGCTTAGGCTGAGGCGGCGGTGTAGGTTTCGCAAAAAGACTAGCCCAGCCTTTCTTTGTTCCTTCAGGGATCACACTACTCTTGGGGGCAGTGTCCTTGGGCTCATTCACGGGTTCTGGGGTTTCTGCAACTGCAGGTTGTTCCTCACTCGGCTTCTCTGTCTTGGTGGCCGTTCCCTCCGCAACAGATGACCATGTCGCGGTCCCCGCAGTGCTGGCGACTGTGGGGACGACAGCTGGCTTCTCTGCACCACGGAATCCGTTGGTAGGAGCACCTCCGCGACCGCCGCGACCTCCACGACCTCCACGATCTCCGCGGGCACGTCCACGGCTCTCAAATCCAGCACGTCCACGGCCTCCTCGAACAGGAGCTGTGGGAGTCTCGATCGGGGCGTTCTGAGCTTCCTTTGCTTTGGTACGGTTCCGGTCTGTAGACTTCTTCTTTACCTCACCCCACTGTGAGACGTTACCTGTTTGAATGTTGAAAAAGCCGTAGTTAGCAAGAGTAGATTCGAAGAGACGGTCCGTATAGCAAACACTAGGGAGGCGGGGAGGGAGGAACGAACGAACCTTCGGTGATGCGCTCAATTGCCTCCTCAAGTTCACCGTCTGCGTCTTCCAATGCAAAGACAAGATCCTCATCTGACCAGTCGGAGAACATCTCCTTGAGCATGGGCAGGGTGCTGGCGTATTTCTTCTTCATCTGCCCGATCTCTCCTTCCTCTTCAAATGCTGCGACATTGTCCGAATTGTTTGCAGATCTGCCACCTCGACCACCTCTCGAGCTGTAACCACCACGGCCGCCACGAGCGGATACTCTGCCACGGGAGGCAGGTGTTCTTGTTTGAACTTCAGACATTTTTGGGTCTTCTTTTTCTTCGTTTTTTTATTAAGATTTCTGTTGAATTCTCTGATTATCTCCTATCGATGGAGATAAAACCAGGAGAACCGACGCGTGGATAAAAAAGGAAGAGAAAAAAAAAAAAAAAGGCGAGAGTGGAAAGGTAGGTTGTGATATCGTGAGTGTGTGCGAGGGTGAGTGTGTGTGGTGTCAGTTGGTCGAATCAATCGAACAACGAATTGGCACCGAGGTCAGCACCAAAAGAAACCACACAGACGGAGGAAGAACAAAGAGACAAAGAGACAAGAAGCAGTGGAGGAAAATCAAGATCGAGGAGATGAAACAAGGGAGAAAGAAGAGGGATGAAGGGAAAGCGTTGCAAAGAGGGAGGAGAGAGAGAAGAGGGAAGAAGAGAAGATCTTAAGCTTTGCGGACGACGAGAGGCAGACGAGAGGTCGAAATGACACTCATCAGGCCTCTTTCTTTGGCGCCTTTAGCGAGCGGCAGAACGAAGGAGGCTCTGCACCCGTCAATAATTGTCCCTTTTTTGATTTATTTGCTACAATTTATGCTACTAGATCAATTGTTCTCTATAGTAGTAGTTTTTAGTCTATGTATTTGCCTCCCACACTGGGTATCCTGTCAAAATCTTCCCATGCCCAGTGGTGAGGTGTACCACTCTGTTTCTCACCGCCCGCCGGTCGCGGTTCCTCCATCTCTAGCCTACTCCGTACTCTGTACAGAACATCCGCCTAGTATTCTAACGATTACGGGACACTATTGACTACGATTTCCTTCGATCCACGTATCCTGCGACATTCTTCTCATAGATGCCTGCAGCAAACCCCTCGTCATGAAAAAATCGTCGCTTTTCAATCCCAAAACCTGGTCCTCGATTCATCACCCGCTGCCGCGAACTCCCCGGGAATCTCAACAGCTCCTTGGTGCCCTTACATCCTCCTTTCGTCGTCAACTTGACCATGAGTATCCCACGTCTGCCGCTCCCGAGCGGACGAACAAAGGCGGGGAGCACTCCGTAAGGTCCGACTCTGCCGCGCATATGGCCGACCAGCATTTCGAGAACATCTTGGAGAATCCCCTCTTCCGGGTGGCCCCGTTGAAAGAACGAAAGCCAGGAGTGCCGGCCTACCATGAACGAATTACCAGAGAGCCAATGGTCGTCTTCGATGAATGGGTTGCGTCAGGACTAATGACGAATGGGAGGCTGGCACTTTGTCTGAAGTCTCAGTACCTCCTTTCTACTACGGGCAAGCATACCAAGCATGAACGCACGCAGGCTTTGAAGGCTACCAGAGCCGGTTCGAAGGTTGTCTCGTGGTGGTTTGCATCTGAACCGGCAGTGAGGGAGAAGCTTTTTGCATCGAGGGAGGCGACTAAATACTTGTTCAAATTCTTGGTTGCGGAGGGGATGCAGGATACCGTTATGGGTTGGTTAAGGATGTTTTTGGGCCCAGACTACGAGGTGCCTAACAGGTCGCTCCATCAAGACAACTCTCTACCTTTTCTTAGCCGCCTGGCCGATTTTCTGCACGCAGAGGTTGAGTGTGGTCGTGGCTTGGGATCTGCTGTGACATATTTTACCCAATCATGCCAATTGGCCTCGACTTTGGCCGGCAAGCCCGACGGGGAATACAGCGAAACCCAGCGCAGGAAGCTCAAGTTTGCAGGCTTCAGACTAAACAGGCTGGTCGTTGGACATTACCACACCCAAGCTACAAAGCTTCCTGTGTCTCCATACGAGGAGTACATGGAATTCATGTTTTCCCTGGCACTGAATAACATTTTGAACGACGCCCTTTTCCTTTACCATCCCACACATCCGGACGCTGGGCCGTTCCTTCGACAAGTGGAGCAGTTATCTTCGGAATCCCTAGAACCCGGGATCAAAAGGCAGTTCGAAAATGCCCGCGGTATGTTTATTCAGGCCGGGTTTCACGCCCTTCGTCTTTTAATCGAGCAGGAGCGATTTGGCGATGCTACGCGTCTTGCACCCTACATTCAACGACTACTGAACGGTGAAGATGCCTCAGATACGACACCAGATGCTTCCTACCGTGTCTCTGATGAGGAAGAACGCCTTCTTGATCGTTTGCAATTCTCATTGACTTGAGTTTTCCTCATTTGTTGATCAGCATAGCTTGTTTTATTAATTATTAACGATGTCATGGATCGCCAACTCAGTCCAGAAGCGGGGTGAAGAGACGAGATTCGTTAGCCCGATTTGCAATGCTCTCATAACCTTGGAAAAAGGTTGTTTCCAACCACCGCCACGAGATTCACATTTAGCATTGAATCATCGTACAGCAAAAGTCTATGTCCTATGTGCATAAGACTGCTGTAGTGCTGCTACTCCGCATACTTCACTCTCCACTCAGATCGGAACAGTCGGGGAATTTTTTATCCATCTCCTCTTCTTGGCAAGATTTACGCCAAAAAGAGCAAGAAGCTGCCTGAGCGCAACTGAAGCTTCAGTATCATTCGCATTCCAGAAATTTTCGGAAAGGCTGTTTATTCAAAAAAAAAAAAAAAGGTTGCTTATTCCGACCAATATTTTAATGGTGTGTTGGGGAATTTGTCTGCTGTGTTCCTGCAACCGGATGCGAGTGAGAGATTGAGTTCCACGTGAATCGGGTTAGCGTCTCCAAGGACCCGTCTTAGTCAACGTCACTGGGCAACCTCACCTCGCGCTGTGCGATTGTCCATCAAGCCATCCCATTGTCTTACTTCATCTTCATCTGTAGATTCATCTTTATCATAATTGAAGTCGCCTAGTGCTCGCGACCATTTCCTACTGTCTCAACAAAATCAATTCTCAATTGAAACGCACGTGCCCACCTACCTTTCCAAACTCCCACAATGGCTGCTGAAGGGACTGAGATTCCAACTGCGCCTGCCGTTCAAGGTACGTTCATGACTCTAGTCGCCTTACGCATTCGATCTCTTTGCCAGTCAGCGCCATGTCGTTCACTACCCCTCTGGCTCCTACATGCAATGGCAGCGCCCGCTCCCGCAGTAACTGACGTGCATCGCCCACAGAGAACGCGAACGACGCAAGCGCCGAGACCAAGGCGGATGTTGAAACCACGGACCAAACCAATGGCCACAGCGACTCGACCGCAGCGGACCAGACGAAACCCGCGGAGGATTCTGAGTCTACTGAGGAAGCCAAAGCTCCGGAGTCAGCAGAGGACAAATCAGAGGAACCCAAGGCTGGCGACAAGCGCGAACATGAAACCAGCACCACCGGACCTGCCGAAACAGAGCAACCCGCCGCTGTAGAGGAATCAAGCGAACCGACAGCTAAGAAGCAGAAGACCAGCAAGGGCGAAACTACAAAGGCCAAGAACGGAACCGCTGCCCCTAAGGAAGAAACCAATGGAGAGGAGAACAAGAAGAAGGGTGGTCGAGGCAAGAAGGCTAAGACCCCTGCTGCGAAGCCGGCGGTTTCCACCGACGGCCCCGGTAGCAGAACGCGCAGCCGGACCAAGGCTGCCGCTTAGATGGCTACCGTCTTTGGAGGCTCTCTGGATGGCTTATTCCCCTTTTGATTTTATCTTGGTTATGAACGGACCCTAACAGATGTTTTGGAATGTTACACCATGCGCCTGTTCATTACTGATGTGAAACGATGGAACTAGCCATGTTTTCAATGTAATTAAGTTCATGTCAGACGCCAGCTGATGCGGTACAGAAATCAGAATTGGATGTCAATAAGTTTTTATAGGGTGCAATATTCCCATCTTCACTTAACCTAGACATGGAAACCATCCAAAACTTAACACAACTAGTCGTAAGCATTGCTCTACACCGAATGTTGTCTTGTTCTCAGAAACAAACAAATGTTGCCTGCATATGCAGGGGTTAGTCAGCCTCTCCTTGACCTCAAAGGAACAATTTGCTCTGCGCCAATTATGATGTAGCACTTCATACCATGCAGGTGGACCTATTACAGTCGATAGCATGTCAGTAACCATCCACTCTCGAATCGTCGGCCTTGACGAGTTAATTCCCAGGATAGTCGACATTTAACGCGAAGGTGAGAAAATACCCCGTTCTATCCTCAACATTCATCGCTGATATACAATCAGACAAGGACGTCGAGGACCTAATCTCCTGGGTCTTCCAACAAACCGACAATGCACAAGATACCGATCCAAAAACCTGGCCAGATGAAGAAAAGAAATTGTGGCTCTTCTTTGATGATTACCTTGGGTACTGTTCCGACATTCGACGATGAAGAGACCCCGACTCTCAAGATATCGGAATCACGAATACTTTGAAATCAACCGAGACAATCACCTTGCCCAAGAAAAGCCGCAGCATGCGCAAGGATGTTCCTTATTCGAGATTTATAAGCACACAGGGATCGATGTTGAGGCTTTTGATCAAGTCTATTTACTTTTCTCTTGACATCAGAAAAGAAGAGCCTAGACTTAGGTAAGTCGATTGTCACTTATAGGCACGCGGGATTTCATGCTGAAGACCCTCAAGAGTGCCCACATCAATATCCAGAATGAAGTATGTACTTGGTGGTGAAGTATTTAGGACCAGACCAGAGGGTGTGGTCATAATTGGCCTGTTAATTGATGGTCTGTCGATTATTTCTTGCCCTAGGGTACGTGTTGCACGTCTGTTTCCCATGAACATCTTCTAAATATCATTAGTGGTACGAAGACCATAACTGGAGCGAATTCCTAGGGGAAACACTCAGTGTGATGCTGGCCAACTCGCTAAAAACCTTAATGTACGGCACGGAGGTGCCAATATAGGGGATCAGGAAATCTACGTGGTTGGCTTCCACGGATGTGATTTCTATATTGCCCGTGAATTCTTCAAAGCCGATGTTATTTCCAGGCTTCATACGAATGGATACTCAGAAGACGAGGTTTTTCAATTGAACTTCTCACGAGGTTATAATCTCTACTTGAAGGAGGATTAGCTCGAAGCTACACGCGGTTTGACTGGATTATTTCGGTCTCTTTTAAGTGAGAATGCGAAGGTTGGGGCTATACGGGCGTATTTAGCAAAAGAGTTGAAAATGCGAGCCATGGATAGATCATCATGGCCGCTACGTGCTTGACACTCCTCAAAATCAAGTTACCATCTTAATCTCGCCATCGCTACTGAACATTGCGAACTCGGGGACCTTCCTTTAGGCTAGGCTGCAGCATTTCAAATCTCTAGAGAATTTATCCAATCCTTGGGACACGGGGACAGTATCAATGACTTGGCCGACAAGTTCCTGGGTTTTAGATTGTGTTTATCACCTCGTAGTACCAGTGCTTGTAGCGTCTAACCCACTGCTTATAAAGCAAGTTGCGGGGATCATATGTACATGTGCCCACAAGGCACATTTCTAGAAAACCTATTGGCTCTGATAGATTTCTGAACCTTCGTCAGTCTGCTCATTCACATTACTATCGGAAGAAATGAAGAGAGATATCATACCAGTTCTTGATGAAGTGTGTGCCTCAATTTGCGGGAGGGTGACACGGCGTGAGAAAATGAAGCGACTATCTAAATATACAAGAGCTCTGGGATTTTTTGCCAGAGCCAGAAGGCCTAAAGTAAATACAACTCGAAGTTTTCACTCTCCCATCCTTCCCTTTTCGGAAGGGCTATACCCCGCTGAGTCATTTATCGGAGCGGAACAATTACATAACCGGCGCGCTATCACTGGAGGGGCAAGTCTGTGTCAGAGGCCATTGATAAGTATCGCATCCATTCGTTCCATTGCCTCCAAACCTCGTTCCCCCCCCTGGCAGTTTGAAACTATATCCAGAATGTCGAGCAACAAGATCTGGCTCCGCGCCGAAACCAAGCCTGCTGAAGCGCGGTCAGCTTGTAAGTTACAAGACAAGAAAAATCCATGCGAATTGACCCCGCGTTTTAATTGATAGGGACTAATTATATCGACTTTTTCTACAGTGACCCCTACCACCTGCAAGAAGCTCATTGATGCCGGCTACGAGGTGACAGTTGAGCGCTCGACTCAGCGCATTTTCGAAGGTACGATTGAAAAGATTGCCACTGATTTTCGAATTGACTTTTAGTGGCGTGCTAACACTTCTGGCCCATGTGAATAGATGACGAGTTTGCTGCTGTATGCTCCCGCTTTCTTTACACGCCGCTCGAATTGACGTTTCTAATGCGCTACTTGAACAGGTCGGTGCGCCGCTCGTCGAGGAAGGTTCTTGGGTGAAGGATGCGCCGAAGGATGCCTACATCTTGGGTCTGAAGGAATTACCCGAGGACGACTTCCCCCTGGAGCACGTCCACATCTCCTTCGCACACTGCTACAAGCAACAGGGCGGTTGGGAGAATGTTCTTAGCAGGTGGCCCCGTGGAGGTGGTACTCTTTTGGACTTGGAGTTCCTCACTGACGATGTTGGCCGGAGAGTGGCTGGTAAGTATTTGCGCCGGTGACAGTTGCTTTGTCAAATGCTAATTGGTGCCTTTGCAGCCTTCGGTTGGTCCGCTGGTTACGCAGGCTCCGCATTGGCCGTTAAGAACTGGGCATGGCAATCGACCCATTCCGGCCAGGAGCTTCCTGGTGAAGTGCCTTATGCCAACCAGAACGTTCTGATTGAGTCCGTGAAGGAATCGCTTGAGGCTGGCAAGAAGCAGTCTGGCAAGTCGCCCAAGATCCTGGTCATCGGAGCTGTGAGTCACCCCTTTTAATGAATTGAGTGCGCCAGGGCTAACATTGCATAGCTTGGACGCTGCGGAAGTGGTGCCGTGGAGTTGGCCAAGGATGTTGGTATCCCGGACTCGGACATCTTCCGCTGGGATATTGAAGAGACTAAGAAGGGTTCGTTACCCTACGTTTCGTTGGGTTTTCTATATGCTGACTTTGTTTAGGCGGTCCCTTCAAGGAGATCATTGAGGATGCTGACATCTTCATCAACTGCATCTACCTCTCCGCTAAGATTCCTCCTTTCGTCAGCCCTGAGAGCCTTTCGACGCCCAACCGTCGCCTTTCCGTCATTTGCGACGTGAGCGCTGATACGTAAGTATTATTCTTTACGTCCATCAGTCTGGCACTAACTCGTTGCCCCCAACAGTACCAACCCTAACAACCCCGTTCCCGTTTACGACATCACGACCACCTTCGACAAGCCCACTGTGCCCGTTACCCTGCCTGCTGGAACTCAGGGTCCCCCTCTTAGTGTGATCAGCATTGACCACCTTCCCTCGCTCCTCCCCCGTGAGAGCTCTGAGATGTTCAGCGAGGCTCTGATGCCCAGCTTGCTGCAACTCAATGACCGAACAAATGCTCGCGTCTGGAAACAGGCCGAGGATCTGTTCAACGAGAAGGTTGCTACCCTGCCCAAGTCGCTGCAGGCATAAACGTTCTTTGACTTGGACATTGAACGGTAGACTTAAATTGAATGTTTTGTATGTACATGTATAGGCTTGACATATGTCATTTGTATACAATTGATTGATGATATCGAACATTACCATTGCCCTCATAGAAATTTGCCCCCGCTAGCCACATTCAGCATGGTCTTCCATTCGACCTCATCCATCCAAGCTATCAGCATGAATAGAAAGCTTGACATCTAACGCATTCCTCAACTTCTCCTTGGTGCCTGCATAGATCATACATAGCTACACATTGTCAGAACCTCACGCAGACAAAGCAACGGAATTGTCTCAATGAGACTTAGGCATACCTTAACAGGCGTATCACCAGGAATCCAACTAATATAAACCGTCCTGCACCCCTTCCATCCTCCCTAAGATCAAACTCCACATCATACACTGCATATTTAGGACCTCCGGCGGAAGCAAGCTTCTGGAGGAACACCTCGTAGTCTTGTTCTGATGATGACTCCTCGACAACGACTGTGCTCCGGTCGTCTGTGATCTTGTAGATGATGAATTTGGGTTTGTTGGTGCGGCGTCGCGAACGGAGGTTTGTGAAGGCTGTGAAGCATTCTTCCGCTATTGAGACTCTTTCGGTGTGTTAGTATGGTTCTTGGTCGAAGGGGTGGTGGTAAGTATTTGATTGCAGCTCTGAATATAAGCTCGAGTGGAAAGTACTTTGGAGACATACCGATATGTTTGCTGGCTTGAGGTGGTAAATTGAGTAGGGTATTCCGGGTTAAAGAACAAAGCTTCTATGACGGAAAAAGGGTGCTCCCTTCAGTCCAAGTACTTTATACTCAGAACCAGGTCAGGCAACTTCATTTCAGTTCTTATCTATCCACCTATTTTCAAGGAGAGTTCCTATTATAAGAAGTCGTCGTATACTGGAGCATCGGGCCCGGGAGCCCGAACCCCCGAGTTATACGCGAGTCCACCTACAACAGCTTCTATCATCCAAGCTCGACGATGGCTCAGAATAGTTTCGTTGTGGCCTGTCTCTCTTGTGTGGAGAATCTTCAAAATAGCTCTCAGTCTCAGTCGTCAGTGGTGGCCATGTACAGCATAAAGGTACGACTCCTTCCTCTTGTTCTATCCATGAAATAAGTCTCGATTTGATTCTCCGGTACCCTCGACTGCTGTTTTTTAGTAGATCTGTTTAGTACACTCATACGACATGGAAGATAAGACATGCCTCGTCTCCAGTTTCGTCCTCTCGGATGATGACATGGCTTTTGGAAAACAAAAGATTACTCTGCTCTCGTCATTGATAATGAGTATGAATGATCTCTTCGCACACAGTACTCATTATTAGCATCTAACTTTATCCTTTTCTTGGCAGCTTAGAGGGTAGGGGAAAGCGACACTGTTGGAAGATGGTGCACCTTGTGGGAAGAACAGACTTGCTGATGATTCTCTAGCGAATCGTCCCATATTCTTATGCTCATATGTTATAAGCGACACATCCTTGATCGAGCGCCTTTGTTGGAGCGTGTACTTCCCATTAGAGCCCATCTCCTCGGGACACCTCGCATCCATGTATGGAATATTCAATGCTTTGTTGAATGAATTCTTGATTCTCCAAAGCCCTTTGTACCAGCGGTTCGGTCTTCGAGCACATGCAGCCCAGTGCGAGCAGAACTTCAACGCTACCATCGAATTATACGATGTTTTAGCTGTGCCCAGCTTTGAAATATATTTATACTAATCATGAAAGTGAGTAAAGATCCCCTAATTTGAGAATCAAATTTGATAACATTATCTTATCCAGTTTACAAAAGCACAAGATGAGGCAAAACCACTAGTATGCTACACCCTCATTTCTGCAGCAGTCAGTCATTGTCAAATGTTCGGATACCATCGTGAAATAACATATCGCAACGACCGAACTGGAAACTCCGAAAATGCACGTTGACTGTTCTGGACAGCATATACATTTGAGAAACACATCTCACTCCTCTTTGGCCGTGCCTCGAGTATACTGGACTTCGATATCGACGCACGATATCCGGCTCTTTCGACTGATCCTGCTGTTCGGTCTTGGGATGAATCGTTCATTATGGGGATTAAGCTGGCCGATATTCAGGGCCAGATTTAAGGCAGACTTCACAGCAGCGTTGAGAACTGCTTATTCAGAACGTGCGCAGCATGTACAGCAGCTCACTGAACTGCAGCAGGTACTGGCTCTCCATTACGTACTCCGTCTACATTGGAATGTGCATGGCTCATGGTTTTGTGACAGATTGATCCAAACCAGGTGAACAATCGTCAAAGATTCGACATTACTAGAGATAGCTAGGACATCATGTACTACTCGACTTTTACATCACTCCTGCGAGCTCCCACTACATCTGAAGCGGAAGAAGCAGAGGTCAGCTCGTAATGTTTTCAGGTTGCGCGCTTAGCTTTGGAGGGCCATCTGCGCTGCTTTAGTAAATACCAGACGTCTGGTTTCTTGTCAGATGCGGATTATGCGAATTGGTTATTTTCCTTTCCCTGCTTTCTATACGGTGTACTAATTCCTATTAAGAGTCCTTCTATTCTTGTCCTTCACACCGTTCATCGTCATATTCCTCCACGCCATCGCAGCAACCAGCGTCAACAACATCCAGCTCCTCGAAGAAGTAACAGAAAGTCGTCATCACACAGAAGGTTAAAAAAAAAAAAAAAAAAAAAAAAAAAAAAAAAAAAAAAAAAGAAAAAAGAAAAGAAAAAGAAAAGAAAACAAGAAGAAAAAGGAAGCAAATTAATTCCAATCGCTTTCCTATGACAAATGGGGAAATCGGCAATAACCGAATTTTACAGAATCAGAGATGGTTGTATACTTCTACTCCTTCCCTTCCTTCCCCTAGGCAGATCAAGTGACTGCGCCGAGTCGTGTTGCAACGTTTCATTGCTTCGTTCTTTTCCATATACGAAAAACCCAACTTTGTCCATGACTTCCCATCCCACATCTCCTCCTGCCATTTGCTAACGGAAATCAAAACGAATATTATGCGGAAGATTTGCACCAGGGATGATCTTCCCTGGTACGAGCGCGCAAAGACGGATAAGGCGAGGGCAAAACGCGATCAGCGCGAGAATCATCCACGGATTCGAATGCTTCCAATCCTACGCGAATATTAACGAAGCACCATGGCAATAATGTGATATGTTATTCGGAACATATATTTATTTATGCCTGCCACCGGTACTTGGCGCATCCCGACAAACCTCCGAGGACTTTCTACCCCCCCACGGCCATTGAGGCATCTTCCGCTTCAGTCGTTGATCACGGTTTCCCCGGATGAGAAAAATTGGCTCTAGCAGTGTATGAGATTTGAATCCGATAAATCCAAGGACGTTTCCCCTTTACTCGTTTTTGAGGCTAGTATCAAAATTGTGCTTTACTGCGAAGTTACATACTGGTGAGATCGCTACGCGCACATCCATCCCATCTTGAACTTACTTCCGAGTCGAGTCCCCTTCCCCTCTCCGGATGCTCCCTTTCTCATTCACTGCAGCCTCTCCACTTTCTCTCGGCTTACCTACACGTGTGGGAGAGAAGCACGCAGAATGAAGCTAACTCTTTCTTCCGGTTACCGCCCGGATAGTAGAAGCCGTTGTTTTGACCGTGCCTCCTCCGACTTTCTCCCAGCAGCGAGAAACCGGAATTCGAATAAAAAGCCAATCACCACACCGTTATTTCTGTACCCCGTGCTTATACGACCAGTTTAAGTTAATCGCGACATTTTCTGGTTCATACAACTCAAGATTTTATCCGGCAAATGAAGAAATGAGTTCGGTGCTATCCTGTCTACAAATACGTCAAGCTTAATTGATGCAAGATAAACCAACGACAGTCGCCGCATACGCGGCGGGGGCCTCCCTCGCCGCCGTCACCCTATTCTACGTCTTCGGACCCAACTACACCATCGACGGAGACGAGAATGCGGGTAACAATCGCAAGAAGAGCATCGTGGGCCTGACCAACCCAGCCAATGACTGCTTTATCAATTCCGTCCTACAAGCCCTGGCTGGTCTGGGAGATCTACGGGTATATTTGATTCGGGAACTCCATCGACGCCAATTGGACGGACCGGAGATTTATAGTATACTGCCGAACTTGGATGAGATCCCGCGCGGGGAGAGACCGGAGAAGATCCGTGAATTGCAGCAGGGTACGATTACAAGTGCTTTGAAGGGGATGTTGGATCGGTTGAATGAGCGGCCGATCTATAAGAAGACTATTTCTGCGGCTGGGTTCGTGCAATCGCTCGAGTATGCGTTTCGGATGCGGCTTAGTCGGAATCAGCAGGATGCGCAGGAGTTCTTGCAGATTGTTGCAGAGCGGTTGTGTGATGAGTATCACGCTGGGGTGAAAGCGCGACAGAGGGCTAGATGGTTAATGGAGACGCCTGCGGGTTCGGGCGCCCAGGAGCCAGGCCAGGAGATTAACGGCGACGCTAAGAGCCCGACGGAGGTCGATGTTCGAGTGGACGATGAATCCAGAAATGGCATCCCTGCCATGCTTGATACGAAGCTGGATGACATCGAGAACGAGGACGGGTTTCCGCTTGAAGGCAAGATGGAGTCTCAGATCGAATGCCAGTTTTGCCATTACAAATACAAACCGAATCAGACGTCTTTTGTGAACCTGACTCTCCAGGTACCACAAAAGAGCTCGACTACGCTCAGTGCTTGCTTCGATGGCCTTCTCAAGACTGAATACATCGAAGATTTCCGATGCGATAAGTGCCGGCTCCTTCATGCTCTACAAGCCAAAGTTACCGAAAAAAACCGAGCGCGCTTGGAGAAGGACAAGCAGCGTCTCGATGCAGACATCCGGCTGATCCAGGCGGCCATTGAGACGGATCCCGAATGTATACCCGAGGGAGTTACGCTGCCCCCGAAGGAACTCGCTCCGAAGCGCAATATCGCCCGGCATATGCGGATTACGGTATTCCCCAAGATCATTGCGATCCACCTTTCGCGGTCGATCTTCGACCAAAGCAGCTCGACCAAGAACGCAGCCAAGGTGTCGTTTCCTGAACGGCTTTCCTTGGGAGGGATCCTCAATCCCAAGTGGTTTAAGCTCCTGGCGATCGTCTGCCATAAAGGCAGTCACCAAAGCGGTCATTACGAGTCCTTCCGCCGCAATACACTCTATGCTCCTTTCTCAACTCGGGACGCGTTTAGCTCGTTCGCAAACAGTCGCGCGACGAGCAGGAATCCATCGCGAGCACCGTCACGAGCCACGTCGCGAGCGCCATCCATAGCCCCGAGTCCTCGACTTAACCCACGCAACGGGTCTGACCCCGATCCCGCTGATATTGCTAACCTTTCTCGATCTGCTTCTGCCCTCTCCCTCTCCCAGGGCTCTCCGCCAAAGGGTTCCCTCAAGCTGAACCCTCCCCCTTCCCCATCCTCTCGACCCGACACATCGCAATCCCGTATATCCTTCCAAAGTATCCGATCCAAATCTTCCGGCTCGAAAGCTCAGTCCCCCACCTCGGATGATGGAAGCAGCCCGACAACAACGGACGGACGATGGAGCAGGACCGGCTCACGCAGTTCCAAAGACAAAGGATCATCGCGATTGGGACGACGACGCAGCAAAATCAACAACCGGTGGTGGCGGATATCGGATGAGAAGATCAAGGAGTGTAAGACGTCGGATGTGCTGGGGATGCAGAAGGATGTGTATTTGTTGTTTTACGAGATGGAAAAGCCGGAGTCGGAGTCTGGGTCGGCGGTTTAAGAGTGTAAATTTGTCATGGATATCCAAATTTAAACCTAGAACTGTTATAGTGCTACGAATAGTTATTGATAGTCTCTTGTGTTTGCTCATACGTACTCCGGAGAAGAGGAGCGGATAAGTTTTTCATGTCCGGAGTGTCATCGCACCGCGCATAGACCCACGATGCGACATGGATGATACTTTCTTCAGTGTCATGGGACCTGTGATCCGGCTTGGCTTGGCTTGTAATGGAAATAACATAGAAAGAACGTGAAGCAACGAAGGGGAGAACCGAGGGAAAATGAAAGAAGCACGAAAGAAAAACGGAAGCGGAGGGGAGGGAGGGGGGAGTTCGGGTGAGGTATTCGCGGGGTGTCAGGTTTGTGTACTTGAAAAAGGTGTATCTTGTTTGCTTGAGTGCAATTGAACCTGGAAACAGTACTCTGGAACCTGTAGTAGAGAGTAAAGAGAGAGAGCTCTACTCTGGAAGAATTGCTATGATGATATCAAAGGCGAGGTATGATGCTATCGGCCGTCTTCGGTGTGGTGGAGGGCGGCGGGGGAAGTCGGGTTGCCGGACTCTGTATTTGTACACCACTTAACCAGGTCAATGGGCAAAAGAATAGCAGAATACAGTACTGATTGACTGGTTCAGATTCAAATTGTCAATAATTTTTTCATATTCAATTGTGATGTTCTCAATAGGATAGTGCAGTGTAGAAAATAGCTCGAGCTAACGGCCCTCTGCCCTCCGATTGAATCATGGTGAGGTCACGGCCCACATGCCGGTGTAGCATAGGAAATGCCCCTCCATAGTAACGGAGCCCCTCCTTGCCTGTTCAAGCGGTGATTTCACTCCAGATTCGTCAACCGGTAAAGAGAGAGAGGCGTTGCTGCGGCTTTTTTAAATAAACCGTCTCCCGCTCTTTCCCTTCACCTTTCTTCAACTTCTTCCATACATTTTTTTTCTATTTCACATCACTTCTCTACTCTACTTTCTACACATACAAAATGGGTGTCCTTCAGCTCTCCCGCAAGACTGGTGTCATCACTGGTGATGATGTCCTCCGTCTCTTCGAGTATGCTCAGGAGAACAACTTTGCTATTCCTGCTGTGAACGTCACTTCTTCCTCGGTCGTCGTCTCGACCCTCGAGGCTGCCCGTGACGCCAAATCCCCCATCGTCCTTCAGATCTCCAACGGTGGTGCCGCTTACTTCGCCGGTAAGGGTGTCTCCAACGACGGCCAGAACGCCTCCATCGCTGGTGGTATCGCCGCCGCCCACTACATCCGTAGCATCGCTCCCAGCTACGGTGTCCCCGTCGTCCTCCACACCGACCACTGCGCCAAGAAGCTCCTCCCTTGGTTGGACGGTCTCCTCGATGCTGACGAGGCCTACTTCAAGCTCCACGGCGAGCCCCTCTACTCTTCTCACATGATTGACTTGTCTGAGGAGCCTGTCGACTACAACATCCAGACCACCGCCGCCTACCTTAAGCGTGCTGCTCCCATGAAGCAGTGGCTCGAGATGGTAAGCCCCTCCAGCTCCCTTTACCAGTGTTCTGAAATGAAAATGCTAACGAGATCAGGAAATCGGTATCACCGGTGGTGAGGAGGACGGTGTCAACAATGAGGACGTTGACAACAACTCCCTCTACACTCAGCCCGAGGACATCCTCGCCATCCACAACGCTCTCGCTGCCGTCTCCCCCTACTTCTCCATTGCCGCTGGTTTCGGTAATGTTCACGGTGTCTACAAGCCCGGCAACGTCAAGCTCCACCCCGAGCTCCTCTCGCGTCACCAGCAGTACGTCCAGGAGAAGGTTGGCCACAAGAAGACCAAGCCCGTCTTCTTTGTCTTCCACGGTGGCTCCGGTTCCTCCAAGGCCGAATATAAGGAGGCCATTGGCTACGGTGTCGTCAAGGTCAACCTTGACACTGACATGCAGTACGCTTACTTGACCGGTATCCGTGACTACATCCTCAACAAGAAGGACTACCTCTTGGCCCCCATCGGTAACCCCGACGGTGCTGACAAGCCCAACAAGAAGTACTTCGACCCCCGCGTGTGGGTTCGTGAGGGTGAGAAGACCATGAGCAAGCGTGTCCAGGAGGCTCTGGATGACTTCAACGCTGCTGGCCAGCTGTAAACCTTTTTTTTTTTAAAAAAAAAAAAAAGGAATGAGCCTTAGTACATAAAAAAAAGAATGATGACGACATACAACTACTGATGACTTGTATGAGCATTTGGGGAGAGAAAAGATCGGGTAGACATGGAGTTAGGTGACTGTATCCAGTGATCATGTATTCCAGTGTATAATGAATTATGGCAATTTTTCAAACTCATTCATGTCGTAATGCGCGGAGTAAGCTTCCGTAGTTATCCCCAAGGTTGTGACTCAGTATCTACTTTCGTACACCTATTCTACATCAAGAGTACAGGGTACTCACGCAATGCCACGATTCATCCAATCCTTCACAACAACCCCAAAAGACCTCTTCCGTCTAATCTTCGGCCACTACGTCCGTCTCCGCGCCTATCACTCCCCCTCCTCCGCCCCCGACACGCCTTCGACCTAATCACCGTCAACGGCCTCGTACGACCACTAGCTCTAGATCTGTCGACTTATGAATGTACCCCCCCCACCCCGCCTATATCTTTCCTTGAGTATCTATACCCCATAAAAGTAAATATATAGTTAACAAAAAGTGATACATAGTCCCAAATGGCGCATCAATAAGACCAAACACATCCGTAATGCAGAAACTCGCGCGTACGGCGAAAAATCCGCATGTTTGCATTTACTGCGTTGCAAAGGGCACAGAGTTACCGGAGGATTTGATACTCGTGCATGAGTTTCGGGATCATTATTCGTTGCAGGCGGGGAGGGGGATGGGTGTTGATGGTATGTTTTCTTTTTCCATTTCGGGCTGGGATGGATGGTGCTGATGAGACGTAGACTTGAACGAGAAAATTACGGATTTCTTATCAGAAAAGGGAGAGAGATTGAGCAGGGAGGGGTGGTTGTGGAGGTTTCCGAGGGCTGCGGAGGAGATATCTTAGCTTAGGTTTGGAGAGTATGGAGGGCTGGCTATTGGAAGTAGGAAGGTACGTATGTGTACGGTCTAGTCCAGACTCAGACACCGATAGACCCATATCTTGCCTTCAGAGAATGTCATGCATAGGCCCCACGTGCGCAACCCATTTTCATTGATATCACACAAACTCCCGGGGAAAAGGTAATGGATGATAATGTTGTAAGTTCTGGCTAGTTCTCCCTCGTCAACACCAAAAGGATTCTGCAACCACTTATTCACAATATTCGACGTTTTGCTCTCAATAGTAGCAGCCCCCAACCGACTGCCCCAGTGAAATGTGATTCGAACATGACTGATGATATCCAATAACTCGATCAACCTCGCATCCACATCCATCGAGTCAATTGACTTCTGGATTCTTTCATAATCGAAACCGTACATCTGCTCAAACGTCTCCTTGTACGAGGCAAAACAGCACAGCGCACAGCAGATGCATTGATGCGAGTGAACCAGTATAGTATCGACATTTATCCATCGACTGAAGCAAACCCAGATTGAGCTGGGACTTGAGAGACTATGACAAGGGATTCGCACAAAGTTGGAAGGTCGCAGTGGTGTCCAAGGCGTCAATGTCCTTCACTGGTGGTGTCGATTGCGTTCCAAACCGAGACCGGGCCATTTGCCAGCGGGTTTTAAATCAATGTGTTTTTGCTGGTGTGTGGTCGGATTTCTTTTTATGAGCGTGACAGACGCACGAGGATGTAGAATACTATGATATTGTTGTCTTTTCCGTATATAGATCCTCCGTATATCAGCACTGCTGTGAGGCTGTCTTCTCGGGTTTTCGCCTTGGGTAGGTGATACTGAATTTCTGAATCCAAATCTATTCCATGGAAAGATCTGCTGGAATCGAACCCGGGGAGTGCTGTAAAAAAGGCGGTGCTTGCCTTTGCATAGCCAGTTAAAATGTCTCCTTCCTATGTGTTGACTTGCAGTATAGGAGTTTGGTGGGCTGAATGTCAGAAGACTATGCCATACTGATTCCCATGATACCGGTAGGGGGGAACAGAACTATCCGTAGCTCCTGTCGTCATATGCTCGAATACGCTGTAGGACTCATTTATTATGACTAGGGCTTTGCCGTATGGCCCGACTATATTCAACCGCTCAGTCTCGTTTTCCGCTTGTACAGATGCTTGTAACATTGTTGTGTGCCTCCTTGTTGCGGTTATCGCCTAGTTTGCGGATCAGACTAAGTACTTCCATTCATATAAGCATGGTATGTAAGATGACTGAGATCGAATCTAGTAGTGTTTGTCTTGTGAAAAAACATATCCCATCCTGACTGGCTTGGATTCTAAGCGGATAGTGTTCTTCCTTGTTTATTCAAGGACAAACAGCTAGAGCCATTCTGGCGTACGCCTCCAATGATGTTTGTATATTTAATAGCGCTGAACACGGTGTGAGCAATGCTTCCGTTAACAATCTGTACGCCCCAATTCTACCATACCACGATAGACCTCGACTTCGTCGTTCTCATCCGATCTCGTTTCTCAAAGGCTGACATAGCCAACGACTCGCAAGTTCTAAGGCATTATGTTGAATCGTTAGACTTTCAGGCCTGTCTGGATGAAGAGGTAAAATATGTTGAGGTTTGAGAGGATGATACAAGTAGCTCTCTACTTTTGCGCAATGCTTTCCCCCCCTCGTCCATTCCCTCATTTCCTTCGACCGCGAATCCGATAATTGGTCTGTTGTTAAACCTCAAAATCAAGGCAATAACTCAGGGCCTGCCCTCCAGCCAGTAATATCATGCCTCATAACACATCGTGTAGTCTGTCGAGTATCGTAAACCGTCTAGACATACCATCGTAACATGAGTCCATGGCCTACCACAAAACAGTGTGGTCTGTTCTCGAATGTTTACTCGCAAAGCCTCTTGTGCCACCCTGAAAACATTCCCGTAGCAAGCCTTCAAGTAATAGTTCTATAAAGCAGGTTTCGAGACTTGTGATAATATGCACATGAAGCCGGTCCCTATCCATTACCCTGATTTCATTTTTGCATGTTTTCAGATTGTGTCGATGGTGTCGATGGTGTCAGTCGTTTTTGAGTGTCTCCAGTGGCGATGCTTTTCTGGACGTTGTTATGGCCGGTGTCATTTGTTTCTTCTTTTTCAACCAAGCCCTGTATTCTGGCCGTTCATTAAGAACAGCAATGTGCAAAATATGGCAGTATCGAGCACATATTGGGATTGATTTCATATAGGCTTTGTGCTGTTTGTGTTCCGCCTTTTCTATCTTGAAATACGCGACAGATCCAGAATGGGGAATAGGTACTCCAGAGAGACTGGTGTGAAGATTCCGTCTGGGACGGGAACTCTTTTTTCGTCCAGCGACACCACATAGAGTTGGAGGATCACTGCAACGGACTATTATCATCTGAATCACAGGGGAAACGACAGTGAGATACTTATTCAACACAGTTCTCATCACAGCTGCGTTTGCCCACCCAGTGCAATTCTTGAGGATCGAGGCCTTGCATATCGATCGACGAATAGTCCGTCTCTGTTATAATTGTGATACTGTTGTTATCGTATTTCCCATAACAAACCCCAGGTTCTCCACTGACAGCCCCGTGGGGCTCTACTAAATCTGACCCTAGAGCACGGAATAACATCTCAAGGAGTAGATTCACAGATGTAGGCGCTCATGCATGACATGGGCTTCGAGCCAGCTCGTCAGGTTACTGCAGTCAGATGCAGTTAGTTTTCTAAAACCGCCCAGTTATAACCTTCATTGGACAAGTATATCATATTTATTGGTGTCGAAATACGCGTCAATGGTCTCCATTGCTCAGTCAAGCTGTCCTTCAAGTCATTATATAGGTGTTGATGCAGAAGCCATGCAGCTGTGGCTGTTTCAAATACGTGAACAATTTGATTACCGTACGGATGTTGACCTGCCCCGGAACAAAGTTTTTTTGGTCATTGTGTATGGGGGCTCTCAGCCTTCTAGACCCATGAACCAACTCGAGACTTATATGCGTTGATTGTTCTTTCGAGGAAAACAAAATGGGACCGGTTTTCTTAGCAAATTACTTGCAGCTTTCGCTTCATCGGGCCTGATGGATCTTGTTTTAACAGACCGTCAACTTGAAATTGGCACGAATCGAGCCTAATATGCGTGTCGGAAAGAGGGCTGTTCTGTCAAATTGATAACACTTGTTGTAATGTACAGTGGAAGAGGGAGAGAAGAGGGAGATGAAGAGGAGGCAGACATAAGGAGAACTGCTCATTCTGCAGACAACTGACCATTCACTATGTAATGAAGTTGACGACAGTGATTCACCTCCATTTTCAATCCAAAGACTCTCGTTCTGGAACGCAGCCACGTCACACCCCAAACACGGAGCAACTCGTCTTTATCCATTATATTGATCTGGGGAAGACACTAACATCTATCCCAGCGATGAGACGAAACCTATCATTCATTGCATTCGCGATCTGAAAGGAATTCGGACAAAATGCCCAAGTACACCATTCTAGCTACTCTAGGGTAAGGTAGTGCCGCTCGGATATCTTGCGTCCCCAACCTCTAGTACATACATGAAAATTCATCCCAATACTACTCCGGAGTACCCCACAATCAACGTCTAGAACGAAAAGTGGATACTATACGAAAGATGTGACGAGTGCAATGATTTTTTCAACAGTTGCACTTGCGCATCTGCTGCGGAGCCGTATGATATCATTGTGGTTCTTCTGGAGAAATGGAATCCGAACGTTGGGGATGTCGATCTTGTGCATTGTCCAAGTTACGGCGTTGGAATAATGACAATGTTGATCTTTCTTCCCGGTTCTCGCACTGGCTGGTTCTTGAACCAGGCACATCCTCGCTTAACGGGGAAGAGAGGTCCACTCGAACCTTCGATGACAACACTGGAATTTTCACCCATTCCCGGCTCAGCATGACATTGTATCAGATTGTAACAGCTTTACAGGTTGTTGCGATAACAATATCGCAAACACGCATGTATTAACCCAGAGCAATGTCAGCCCGAAATTTCAAGATCATTGCGCATAATTGTAGTCCAATTGCAGTGCTCAATTACAGACCAACACTCATCGGATGGAGATCCTCCATGGCACCACTGTTTACACCCGACATGAGCATCAAATAGAGCCTGTCGAGTGAAACGATGGGACAATCTCCCACACCCCGATAACTCGATTCAGGGTGCGCGGAAGAACGCTGCCACCAAATATCCACGACTTTGATGGTCACCTCGCTAAATGCCTTATGATCATCCATTGGGTCCTCTGGGAAGGAAAGATTGACGAGCATCGAGATCGTGGCCTCGTCGAGAACTAGACAAGCCACGTTGCGAGCGGGAGGCACGAACCTTTCCTCATCATCACACAGATTGAAACTACGGATCAGAGCCCGGAATTCCTCCCGAATACGGTCATCGGACGCGCCATTCAGAGCATCTTGGTCCTCGATCACATCTAGTTTAAAGCGATGGAATGCCTCATCCCCATACGCGGACAGGGTATAACATCGCAAGCCGCGCTGCACCACCTTTAGCAGGTTGTCTATCGCTCGAGGGATGTTCTCGAGGACGCTCTCCGAATATCTCGTCACGAACACGTAATAACCCCATGTGGGATCTCGGCCCACGTATTTGTCTTTTCCAAAAGCTGACTTGCTCCCATCCCTCGATTTCGCGAAGCAGATCTATCCCTTGATCGAGTATTGGGTTGTAGGGCGTCGGGTCATAGTAAGTAGCGGTGTCAGCCTGTTCTTGCACTTCCCGGAGTGGCCGGGCTGTCGTCGTGATGTCCGCCGCAGCACCTGGGCCGAATGAGCGGGCAGCAAAGTTGCGAGTCCAGGGTACAGGGCGGACAGCCAGGGAGGAGCCTGTGGGGGAAATAGGACGTATGTTTGCGGGTTTCCCTCGGCCGGTCATGGTGTTGATAGTACCGGTACGGAGTCATGCGTGAAAAGCTGATAGTCTCAAGGTAGCGTTAGATAGTGCGAAATTAGTAGGTCATAGATCGCACTAGGCAGCAATACGCTAAACACAACCATAGTCTTCTATTTATCTACCAAGATTCTGTTTATTCCATACCAATATCTACTCCATAGTCTACATATGTGCTGTTCCTGTCGATGTTCCAGTCCCAAAAGGGCAAGAGGCTGTAATGATGGAACATAAAATACAGAGACCCACTTTCGTGTCTCAAAATGTTCCAGACCACGACGCATAGAAGAGTTTTCATTGGCCCACAGAAATAGTATATACCAGAACCAATCAGATTCCACAGCCGTTTTACATTTAGTGTCTGCACTGTAAATGCTGTACATACTCAGTAGTAGAGCACTCTGGAGTATAGGATGCAATGTAGACATAAGTAGTTGTTGATTTATAGGATCGCAAGAGAAATGAAACCATTTTGCAAATCATACGGGTCTGGGGATAAGCATAAATAGATCAAATGGTCTAGACTACCAAGACCGATGATCTGCCAGCAGGGACCGATGCAGTATTTGTATGTAATCTGTAGAATCTGCGTTGAAGACTGTCACTCTGCACTTTACTCCGGAGTATGTAGTGTACATATTCCAGCCCATAATATTCTATCATCTTATCATTAATATCCGTCTGAAAACTCCAAGCAATAGCCTTATATGAGTCTATGGAGATGGTCTAACGCCGTTGTCCAACCGCCTCCGCTGGATCCACCCGGACTTGTGTCTTTTTGCCTCGTCATCCATTCTTTCTTTCTTTCTTCTTTTATTTTCTCTTTATTCGTTCTTCTCTCGTTTTTCTTCTTCTCTCACGTCTCTCGTTTTCTATTATTACCATATAATTAGTCCCTCGTTCCGTCCTCGTGCGCCTCTTCGGAGGTCGTGCCACCGCTATGCATCCTCTCGTTTTCCGCCGCGACGAGACGACGCCCGCAGACGAATTCCTCAAGCTCATTCAGAATCCGTTTTCATCGGCTGTACGCTCTCCCTGCTGAATATACTACACATATATACTAACTCATGATAATGATAGTTCCAATTGAACGCTCTGTCTGCCTCCCTGGTCACTTCCGTCGCCGCTGCCGCCCTCCTCGCCCTGCTCTTCTCCCTCTTTCGTCCCCGTCATTCCGTCGTCTACGCCCCAAAAACCAAGCATGCAGACCACAAGCACTCCCCGCCTCCAATTGGCAGAGGCATCTTCGCCTGGTTCAAGCCCGTCCTGCGTACCAAAGAACCCGAGCTTGTCGAGTGCATTGGTCTCGACGCTACCATCTTCCTGCGATTCACCAAGATGTGCCGCAATATCTTCATTTTTATGAGCATTATCGGCTGCTCTATAATGATTCCGGTCAATCTCACGCAAAGCAAGGGTGCTGTTCAACAGGGGTTTTCGGCTTTTACTATCATGACACCGATGTATGTCAGTACCATGGCCGTGTGGAGTCAGGTGGCTTGCGCGTGGGCATTCAATATTATTATTGTGTTCTTTCTGTGGAGGAATTACAAGGCTATTGTTCGTCTTAGGAGAAATTATTTTCAGAGTTCGGATTATCAGCGTAGTCTGCATGCACGGACTTTGATGATCCTCGATATTCCCCAAACTGCACGCTCCGAAGAAGGCATTATGCGCCTCACGGATGAAGTCAATCCCACTGCAGCACTGCCACGAGCGTCTGTCGGCCGCAACGTCAAGGGTCTTCCCAATCTGATCAAGGAACACGATGAAACCGTCCGCAAACTCGAGTCGGTTTTGGCCAAGTACCTCAAGCGACCCGATCAGCTGCCACCAAACCGGCCCACCATGCGTCCACCCCGGAACCACCGCGGTGACACAGTCGGCAAGAAGGTGGACGCCATTGACTACCTCACCGATCAGATCACACGTCTCGAGGAGGAAATCCGCCATGTTCGTGCTTCCGTCGATAAACGGGATGCCATGCCGTTTGGTTTCGCCAGTTTCGATATGATCGAGCATGCGCATGCGGTAGCCTACACGGCGCGCAAGAAGCACCCACAAGGTACTACCATTAGTCTGGCTCCCCGGCCGCACGACCTCATCTGGGAGAACCTGCCTTTGTCCAAGTCAGCACGCGTGTGGAAACGGTTTATGAACATTATTTGGGTTACAGCGTTGACAGTCGTTTGGATCGCGCCCAACGCTATGATTGCCATCTTTCTGTCCAACCTGAACAACCTGGGTCTGGTTTGGCCGGCCTTCCAAACCTCGCTCAATGCCAACCCCAAGGTTTGGGCTGCGGTGCAGGGTATTGCGTCCCCTGCTATCACATCGTTGGTTTATTTAATTCTGCCTATCATCTTCCGTCGTTTGGCGATCCGAGCAGGTGACGTGACCAAGACTTCTCGAGAGAGACATGTGCTTCACCATCTGTATGCGTTCTTCGTCTTCAACAACTTGATTGTATTTTCTCTCTTCTCAGCCGCCTGGACTTTCGTCTCTACTGTGATCGAAGCCAACCAGCACGATGAAAATGTGTGGCAAGCACTCAAAGAGGGCGAGCTTTACTCCAAGGTCATTAGTGCTTTGTGCAATGTATCACCCTTCTGGGTGTCCTGGCTGCTGCAGCGGAACCTGGGAGCTGCCATTGACCTGGTGCAGCTCGTCAGCCTGTTCTGGATTTGGTTCGTCCGGACCTTTATGTCGCAGACGCCGCGACAGGCGATCGAACGGACGGCGCCTCCATCGTTTGACTATGCTAGTTATTACAACTACTTCTTGTACTACGCAACGGTGGCTTTGTGTTTTGCGACGTTGCAGCCCATCGTGCTGCCAGTCACGGCCGTGTACTTTGGGTTGGATGCCTTGCTGAAGAAGTACCTGCTGCTGTACGTATTCGTGACCAAGAATGAATCTGGCGGCCAATTCTGGCGTGTCCTGTTCAACCGAATGGTGTTTGCGACTATCCTGTCGGACATCATCATCGCGCTCGTGACCAAGGTCAAAGGCACATGGACCATGGTGTACTGTGTGGTTCCGCTACCGTTTCTGGTGCTGATCTTCAAGTTCTACTGCATGAGAAAGTTCGACACCGACACCAAGTACTACAATCGGGCAGATTTGAGCGATGCGGAAGCGCTGGCAGCCGGCAAATCTGGTCGCAAGGCTTCAGAACGACTCAGCAGCAAGTTCGGCCATCCGGCTCTGTACAAACCCCTCATCACTCCGATGGTGCATGCTCGGGCGGCCGATGCACTGAAGAAGATCTACCGGGGGCGTCTACACAACTCCATGGCGGAGGGCGAGTACTCAGACATTGCCTTGAACCCAATGTCCGCCTCGCATCCTGGCAAGTCGGATCCGTCCGCCACAGCTCCATTCGAAGTTGTTCCAGAGAACCAGCTGGACTTCTCGTACTTCAAGGACCGCCCCGAATTCCGAGACGAGTTTGGCGGTGGAATCTACGGTCGTCCAGAGGATCTCATCACAGAACGATCCCATACACCACGCAGCATGCTGGGCGGCGAATGGTCACCCAGCTCATCGCGCGCGTCCTCACCAGCTCCATCAGGACTCTCCATGTCCATGTCCGCATTGCCAGCAGACCCCTATAGCCATGTCCACCCAGTCTTCCGTCCACCATTGTCTCGCGGTGATAGCGGTCCCGTGGGACGAGGCTTGTACCAACAGACAACTAACGAGAGTGAGACATCACTGCTTGACCAGGCGCAAGCGCCTGCGCAGACGGAGGTGCCTCCTGCAGCTTTGGACCGCTGGCGTACCGGGGGGTACGGACCTGTTGAGCAGGATGACGACCCTGGTTTTATGTCATATGAGTCGTATCGGATGGCAAGGTAGCTTTTTTGAGTCATTTCTTTTGGGGGGTTAGGGTTTACTTGGGTTGGTTTATCTTTCCTCAATTCTTCTTGTATATGTTTTGATATATAATTTTGGATACTAGTATATAGATTGGATGAGAATGGTGACGAGTTACGTTATACGATGCAAACTTGGAAATAAATTACACCAAGGCTAAACTTATTGTATAGAATAGACATAAAAAGGCTAAGTGCTCTATAGCAGCGTACTCAATGAAGTGATTACCCAATTAGGCCAGGCGGATCGCGATCCGCGGAGCTCGGAGCTATCTCCTTTCCGCTTTGTTTCTTCCTGTCAGCACCTCAGCTCTGTCCTCTGACATGTAACAACATCAACCTACGGGTTCCTCTGTGCGATGGCCCATTGATTCGTCTCACGCTTATTGTGCCAACTGTCATTGCGACCTGTCACTCCGTCCGTACCTCCGCGGCGTACTTCGTACCTGGAGTACGCTATCAACAAACAACCACAACCACCAACACTCGCAAATCAATCCAACCCAGAACCAAAACAACAGAAAATGACCTGGTACTCCATCCTCCCTCCCGACCTCACATACCTCGAAACCTGGGCCGCCCGAATCTTCGTACGTCCCTCCCCATCCCCGTTCCCATTCCTTTACCTCCCCCACACCTCTCCCCCAATCAACCAGCCCCCATTACTAACGTTCGCAGTTCATCCTAGGCTTAACAACCCTCCTCCCCTGGACCGCGCTCCTCATCTTCGACTTTGTGCTGTATATCGTGCGCATGGCGCTTTACGAGATGCCGGTTGTTGGGGGCCGGGTGAGAGGTGCGCAGAGACCTAGGGCGCCGAGTTTGAATGAGAGGCCGGATGGGGGTGCACGCAGGGTTTTTGTGTTGGGGCAGGGTGGTGAGAAGAATGTTGAAGGTGATGGATTTGGAGATGGTGATCTTGATGGAGATGGGGAGGATTATCGGTATCGGGATGAGGGGGAGCGGGAGGGGAAGAAGCTGTGATTCGGATAAGGACTAGGATGGGATGGGATGGGATGGGATGCTTGCATGGCGTATGGATTTTGTTTGATATGTATGAGATACCCATTGTGATTCGTTTGTACGGAGTACTGTTGATTATTGTCTGTCGGTGCTTCGGGGCTTTGTCCAATTGACTGCGCCGAATTTCGGTGTTACTATACCCTGCAGGTTAGTGAGATGTATTTATTAGCATGGCATTTCATCATCTATTTAGGTTCGTTAGAAGTTATTGTATTAAGATGGCTACGATGGATGCTCTCTGGATGTCAGCCTGGTCATTGACCTCGTCGACATGGATGTTGATATCAGCACTGGCCCTGGTTCTTATCTACGTGATATACAAAAGACACTCTCAACCTGTACGTCTTCCTCTATCTAGAGAGCCACTACTAACTCACAGAAGAAATACACCTTCCCCCCAATAACCCCCCTCCCCAACTTCAACCATGAAACCACAGACCCCATATCCCTCCGTCCCTTCAAACCAAAATACCACTTAACCATGGGTATCCCCCCCCCCCCTCTCCCCTTCCACACAAACCCCCTCTAGACACAATATCAACACAATACTAACGCACCCAGGCCTCACAACTATACCCCCCTCAGACCTCCTCCCCATCGACAAAACATACGAATCGCGTCTCGAGCTACGCTCGTCACTTATCTCACAGCATAGAGATACAGTCATCGGTGTCTGTGATGATAACGGGGGAGATGCAAGAGTTCGCGATGCTGTGGAAGAGTTGTATGCGTTTGTTATCGGGTGGTACTTACCAAGCCGGTATCCGACTATGTTTAGGGTTATCGCTTCACCAGCCAGGGAGAAAGGAAATGGGGAAGAGGTGCTGGAGAACAAAGTAACAGGCGATATCCGGCCCACAACACTCGACAGCACCCAAACCACAGAATCAGCCCTAGAAATCCTAGGCAAAACCATCGATGAAGACTTCCTAATCCTCCTCCCCACCCAATCTCCCAACAAGCCCCCAGAGGACCAGAAATACCACCTCTCCGCATACATAACCTGCTACCCCAACGGTTTCGACCCAGCCCAGAAACTAGGCCTGCAACTATCAACAATCCACGCCCCCGTCCCGGGGTACAGCGAGAAATTGGAGAAAAGCATGGATCGGTTTTTCTCGAGGATCGAGGTTGGGAAGGTTGTTAAACGGGTGAATTGGAGCGTTACGACGGGGGCGGGGCTTTTTGCGGCATTTAAGGGGACGCATGCGAGGGTTGGGGAGGAGGTTAGGGAGATGGGGAGGGGGGAGTTGGATGTTGGGTCGGTATGTATTCTTTTCTTGGTTTATGGGTTATGGAAAATGAATGGCTAACGGGGGTGGTTGGGGTAGACGTTTCTGCGTTGTGAACGGCAGACGCTTCATCGGTTACCGACTAATAAAGCGTTGGTTTTTGCGCTCCATACGTATACGTATCCGATTCAGCAGATCAAGGATGAAGGGCTTGGTGAGGAATTGGCTACTGCGATTGACGGTTTGAAAGAGGGTAACATGCCTGAGATGCATTTCTACAAACGGGGTTTTGTATGGGGAGAAGCTGTCAAGGCGTTTTTGCGGAGTTAATACCAGCGTCATCTACTCTATGTACAGGCTATAGGTATCTAAGACAATCTCTCAAGAACCTTGAGCAGATCAGCCGTAACACCCATAGCAGTCACATCACCACCAGCACCAGCACCCTGCACAATCAACGGGTTGGGGCCGTAGCGCTCTGTGTAGAAGCTGATGATGTTGTCGCTGCCCTTCAGCCCAGCAATAGCGCTGTCCTTGTCAAAATACTGCAGTCCAACGCGGACCTCCTTCTTGGCCGTGTCCACGCTGCCAACGTACCGCACAACCTTGCCCTGCTTCTCAGCGCCGTCCTTGATAACGGACATCTGGCCATCGAACTCAGGGAGACGGGTCATGAACTGGGTGATACCGTCAGAGGTCGAGGGGAGGGAGGCCAGCTCGTTAGGAATGAGGGACTCAATGGGGAACGAGTCGGGTCCTTGCACGTCCAGACCGGCGATACGGGCGAGGATGGTGAGTTTCCGGGCAACATCCATGCCGTTCAGGTCATCACGCGGGTCAGGCTCGGTGTAGCCAAGTTCCTTAGCCTGAGCAACAACCTCACTCCACTTAGCAGAAGCACCAGCACCACCGGAGACAGGGGCGAAAGTGTTGAACAGGAACGACAGCGTCCCCGAGAACACACCCTCAATGCGGGTGATCTGGTCACCAGTAGCAACAAGGTCCTTCAGCGACGAGATAACAGGCAACCCCGCACCCACGGTACTCTCATGGTAAACCAACGCCTTGCCCTCGGCGGCAGCACCGAAGATATCTTTCCACAGACTCAAGTCGCTCGAGAAACCCTTCTTGTTAGGCGTCACCACAGAGATACCCTTGCGCAGGAAGACGGGGTACGAGCTCGCCAGCGCGGGGTCGCTGGTGTTGTCGACGAGGATGGCGCGGCCGGGAGCGGAGGAGAGGTACGAGGCGATCTCGTCAACGGAGAGGGCACCGGACTTGGTGAGAGAAGGGGTTTCAGAGGCCGTCTTCCAGTCACCGGCGGGGATGCTGGGCTTATAGGCTGGGGAAGGGGAGAGGAGAGTTTGCGAGGAGCGGGCGAGGAGGACGAGTTGGGGAGCGTTGGGGAGGCGGGCGAGCTGGTTTAGGAAGGCAGTGCCAACGCCGCCAACGCCTGTGTTGTTAGCTGTGTGCGTATATAGGGGGAGTATGCGTTGGCTTACCGATAACACCGAGGTAGATAGGAGAAGCCATGGTCAATTGATTGTATGCTGTGACTTTGGATATTGATAGAAGGATTGAAGAAAAGTACGTGGGGTCGCGGGGCTATCGATGGCTTAGTCATACATAGTATAGTGAACGACAGATAGCTAGTTACAGGGGTACTGGAGACAACTACTATTACAAAGCCCTGATGGTGGAAATGGATGAGATGATAGATTGACTGTCTAGCTATGTAGTTGAGAGTTGCTATGTGTGAGGTTATTCTGTTCATTGTCTATGAGAACTTGCATAATGATCAAGACTCAACCATCCATTGTCATGATCAAACACTAACTAACCATTGGAAACATGATAGGTACTCTGAAGCAAACCAGGGAAATCTAGTCCTGAAGCCTTTTTTTTTATATCACTGACTCACTGTGTCTCACTGAGGGACTATATGAATACAATGTTGATGACGTCACCAGCAGCAATATCTGATCTACATGTCTATATAAATCTGTTACTTCCTTCAATTCCCATCCGACAGTCTGAAGAATAATTTCTTTACTTTAGATAGCGCAAGCTAATGTTAACTATACTGAGCTGCTTGTGTCTACTATGCTAACAATCTCCCATGGATCAGCCATCAGTTAAATCCACGCCAGGATGGCCGGATCCCATCGGAGATTTGGCCCAAGTGCTGATGACTCTGTCTCATCCTGCTGCTATATACTGGGGAGACGATATAATGCTCTTTCACAACAGCGCTTGGGCGGACGCCGCTGGTGGCATTGATAGGCAAAAAACGCTGCAGCGGCATGCTCTTGCGAACAACACTGTTGCCGTGTTGTTGACGGTGTCTCATGGTGGCAAGGCGGGTGCATTGCGGGGCCAGGATTTGTTGAACACTGATCGATGTGAGACGGATTGGCATGTCTTACTGAGTCAGATACCGGGCGTGACTGGTGTTATCGCCCAGTTACTTCCTAAGGTCCATTTTCAAAAACCATTCGACAATGATACCGCAGACGATAAGGCACGCAATGGTGCAATGGATGACTCGACAGGTGATGCTGGGAGTTCTGTGACGAAAGACATCGATAATACGTCTCTTCAAACAAACGAATCCGTGAAACAGCTTGCCGATACATTACCAGCCGGGCTCGCCATTATCAACCACAAAGGCGAGCCTGTATTCATCAACGGACGCTTTCAAAATCCTCATTTCTATGGCAGTAAAAAATACTTCGACTCTCTATCACAGTCCATTCACCAAGACGACTGTGACCGAGTCGAAAGTGCGTACCAGGAGGCACTGAGGTCCAAAAGCGAACTGCGCATCCAGTATCGTGCACGAAATCAGCCTGACTGCTGGCAATTGCTTTTACTGAACCCCCTTGGTCATGAAGACGTGCAATACCCTGATCTCCATAATCATGGCGGGTTCACCTGCACGGTTGTGGACATTACGGCCGAAAAGACTGCGGAAATAGAACAGGCAAAGTCAGCGCAAGAGGCGCAAGAGCACAAGGAAAAACAAGAACGGTTCATTGACATGATCAGCCACGAGATTCGCAATCCACTCTCCGCTATTCTACACTGCACCGAAGACATCATAGACGCCGTGAAGGGCAAGAAAGCGCACCAAGTTCAGACAGAAGATATCATACAAGCGGCGGAGATTATCAACTTGTGTATATTGCATCAAAAGAAAGTCGTCGATGATGTCCTCTTGTTCTCCAAACTGGACGCATCCATGCTGACCTTATCACCGCGAATCGTCCTGCCACGGGCCGAAATACCAATTTCACTAAAGATGTTCCAACCGGAGCTGCGGAACCAAGACATCCAGTTTGAATACCGACTCGACCCTTCCTACATAGACCACGGCATCGACTGGGTCAGGGCAGATCTCACTAGGATTAGCCAGGTGATTATTAATCTATTCTCAAACGCAATCAAATTCACCGCCAAAACCAAGGGCACAAAGAGAATCGCGCTTTGCATGGGTGCTTCCCTGGAACGACCACCGTCATACCCACCGAACATCGTCTTCTTTCAATCCGACGAGGCTGCATTGCGCCTCGACGCAACCAGCGGGCCGGAATGGGGCACAGGCGAACCGGCGTACATCATGGTCGCCGTCAGTGATAATGGGATTGGGATCAGCACTGAAAACCAGAAAAGGCTCTTTGAGCGCTTCAACCAGGCGACTCCCAAAACAGGGGTAGATTACGGAGGCTCGGGGCTGGGACTAAACGTTTGCCGGAAACTCTGCCATTTGCACGGAGGGGAGATTGGAGTCAGCTCCAAGGAAGGGGATGGCAGTACTTTTGGATTTTTCTTCAAAGTCCTTCGAAGTTCGCGAGCATCGCACGACGAAAAGGTATCGCAGGAGGGTGAGTCGGCAATGGACAAGCTGTGCAATCGATTCGAATCACTTGGCCATGAAGATCAGGAAGCGAATTCCGATTCCGATTCCAAGTTCGAGATCTCAGATAAGCCTATTGTGACACCTTCGTCAGAGGTGATGCCAAGCGCCGCAGACGATGAAAGGACACAAAATACGGCCAAGATCGTAGGGACTGACGATAGCTGGGATGCAAAGCGACAAAAAGCTGCCGATGGTGATTTATCCAATGGAGACAAACCAGAGACAGAATCTCCTGGACCGTCCCAAGGGGAAACTGAAAAAACACGCATCCTGCTAGTCGAAGACAACATCATCAACCAGCGCATCATCTCTCGCAAGTTAAAATCCCTTGGCTTTGAGGTCTCAGAAGCAAACGATGGCCACGAGGCCCTTGAGGCAGCTCAGACAGGTAGATTCAACTGCATTCTCATGGACAAAGAGATGCCTGTTATGGATGGAAACGCAGCAACGAGGGCTATCCGACAATCCGAACATAGAAGCATTGCATCCGTTCCAGTCATTGGTATCACGGCAAATGTTAGGCCGGAGCAGGAGAATGAGATGAAGCAGGCGGGAATGGACTGTGTGATCCATAAGCCGTATAGAATGGAAGAACTTGTGGAGAGGATTAATCAAGCAACCAGAAAAGAAGCATGATCAACGGGGACCCTTTGACATATTATTTTACCGCCGGTATCCCAAATAATTAATCAATGAGTTTGAAGATACAATGTTGGCATCCTGAGCTGTAGGAGGAATTCAGACACATTGGGCTGGATTGATGTATTCTAGGTGTAGTTATAGCTAACTGTTAGATGTTTGAAGCTTGCATGATCATTTGCACAAGTGATAAGTATATTTCAGGAATTAGTAGATATCTAGACCTGATGCCCATGGAATAGCAGCTGAGAGCAGAGCATGAAGGAACAGAAGTTCGCGGTAACTAAACTATGCGCTGACTCCGCCGATCCGGAATGCTCTCCGCTCCGTCTTCGAACTGATCTCACCCACCTCCAACTACAACTACCAACAACAACTACACCAAAATGGCATCCAACAACTCCCTCTACGGCAACCCGCCCCAAAAACGCCCCCAAACCACAACCCCCCAATCCTCCTCCTCCCTCGCCTTCACAAGCCACCTCTCCTCGCTAATCTCCCAACACCAACCCTCCTCGACAACCGGCCGCGCGCGCCCCTCCAAATCCTCCAAATCAGACATCTTCTCCGTATCCAACCGCGGGTCCCAGAAACGCGCTGCCGCGGACTTACTCGACGATAACAATGGCCAACAACACAAGACGGAGAAGGATATCGGGAAAGTGGACGAGGCGACGCTGCATCGGTCGAAGAGGAGGATGGAGGAGAAAGTGAGGTTGTATGAGGATTTGAAGAAAGGGGCTTATTTGGCTGGGGATAGTGATGATGAGGATAATGGTGCTGGTGGTGCTGGTGAGGGAAGGAGTGGTGGCGATGCGTATCTAGCGCGCTTGCGCCGGAAGGAGAAAGAGGGGTTGGTGGATTTCGATCGCAAATGGGCTGATGAGGAGCGGAAGCGCGAGGACAACGATGAGGAAGAAGAGGAAGAAGAAGAGGACGACGACAACGCGTCAATGATATCCTACGAAGACGACCTCGGCCGCACCCGCCACGGCACCCGCGCAGAAGCCGCCCGCGCAGCCGCAGAATCGCAATCCCAGCACGAAGCCGCTGAGCGCTGGCGTCCGCAACGTCCTACGAACCTGATCTACGGCGAAGCCATACAAACGCAAGCTTTCAACCCCGATTCCAACACGGCTTCGCAGATGTCGTATCTAGCGGCCCGACGGGACCGCTCGCCTACGCCGCCTGAGGAGACGCATTATGATCCAGAGGGTGAGGTGAGGAATCGGGGGACGGGGTTCTATGCATTTTCGAAGGATGAAAATGTTAGGAAGCAGCAGATGGAGGAGTTGATGGGGGCTAGGGACGAGACGGTTAAGGAGAGGAATGCGAGGAGGGAGCGGAGGGCGGAGAGGGAGAGGGTTAGGGATGAGAGGAGGAGGAAGATTGAGGAGTTGAGGGTTAAGAGGAGGGCGGAGGTGTTTCTGGCGGGATTGGGGGACTTGGGGGTGCAGAGTTGAGTTGACTTGTTTTATGCTGTACTGTTCGACATTTGATTTGAGATACCCATTTGCATTTGCGTTTGCATGTCATTAACATAGATATTCAAGAACCAAAAAGTGCGAGGGCACAGGACACGCTAAATACAATATAAACATAACAACATCTATACAAACAAAAGACAAGAGTCCGCCTCGCTGTGATCATCAGTCATGTCATAATTCGTTAATCGTAACAAGCATATCCGTCTGATACTCGATATGCTGGTTTTCGTTTCTTTTCTGTTTTCGTTTTCTTTGATTGTCGTCAAACCAATTCAGCAATCAGCTCGCTAATATTACGCAAAAACGCATCCGCATCTGCCAATATTAGCATCAATCCTGACCAAAGTGGAGAAAGGAAACTCACCAGCCCTCGTCAAAAACCTCAAAATATGCTCCCCTCGTGCCGTAACCTGCGGATTATAATCCATAAACGCAAACACACTCGGATGCAATTCCCGCAAAAACACAGCCTTAGGATCAGTCTGCGACCGCCGGATCCACGCGCGAGTCATAATGTGCTCTTTGATATGGTCTGTGATGAAGGCGGTCCAGACGGGGGAGCGGTCCATTTCGCCTTTGTGGACGGAGGCTTGGAGGCGGACGGCGCCGGTTATGGTGTCTTGGTAGATGCGTAAGGCGTGGAGGTAATTGTCGTCGATTATTTGGCTGGATTGTTAGCTAGCGTAATGATGGGAAGGGGGTTGTGGGTGCTTACCCGCCGTATAACTCAACTTCGTCGTCGAGTTCGTAGTCGCGGATTCGTGCGACTGGTCGGCCGCAGTCTTGCGAGCGCATTGCTAGGAATGTACAGAAGAACAGGACCATTCCTGGGATTGTCAGCATAGCCTTGAAAGTAGAGTAGGGGACGCACGCTCAATGGTGCTGAACTTCAGATTCGCCCATACTTCACCAGCAACCCCGCGCCGACGACGACGCAGTTCAAGACACGATCCATTCCGGTAAGCCTCCAGCAAGTTCAGGGGCATACAGAAGTATGGACTGGGTCGAGAGCTGCGAGGGCCTTTGCACATGATTCGGGCTCGATGATCGTCCTCCCGGAAGAACATGTATACTCGAAGATCCGAGTCGCCGGTGAATGCCCTGGAGGGTTAGTAGAGGTGATTGGAGGGTGATAGATGAGACATACAATTGGAACAGCTCTTCATACCCCTCATCGCGAAGCCACCGTTTCAAACCTGGATTCGGGTCTCCTAAGCATTTCGAACTATACCACATCAGCATGTACTATGTAACAAGATTCGGGGGATGCTCACGTTTCGCCAACGTTCGGAAGAGGGGTAGTTGTATGCTGATCCAGGAATACTTCCTTTGCCCAGTGATCAGCCGCAGTATCTAGGGTCGATTGGGTGCCACTAGAACTCGTCTGTGAATCTGGGACATCTGGAACGGAGGGAGGAAAGTCGGACGAATATGTCCCCGAAGACGGAGATAACGGTGACTGAGGTGATTGCATTGATGATGACGGTCTTCGTCGTTCGTATGATCTGCGATTGCGCGGTCTCCGTCGCTCACTAACTGGACTGCTGGGTTCGCTACCCGAGGACCCTCCCATAGTCAAGGCACCGAGACGAGGTACTAATCGGGAATTCTGGGATTCTTGTTGGAGTAGGAGGGATTTGATATTGGATCGAAGTCGTGCTGTGAGACGAGCGTCCGAATCCTTGCTATAAAACCATGAGTCGAAAGAATAAGGGAACTCCGGGAAACCTAGGTGGGCATACTCCTTGAACTCATCCTGCAACTCATTCAAGAATGTCTTATATTTTATAAGCCGGGTCGACAACGAATCCTTCGATTCCTCCTGGAAATACGAACATAGACTCAACCACGTCCGCTTAAAGACTTCTCGACTCGGCCCGCGACGAGTTTCCAGGTCACCAAAGAAATCCACAATGTCCTCGAGAGTATGCTTCAAACTAGTCCCGACTAGCTCCAGATCTGCCTGGACATGGTGCAGGGTATGGCGGTAAGCACGGTTAGAAGCGAAATCGTCCAAGAATTTCAGCGAGACGCTAATAGCATAGAGATCCGCGATGAGGCCGGTGATTTCCGTGGCATATTCGGGCAGAGGATCTCGAAACATGCGGAAGCCCGCGGCCACATCCTCTGCATTATCGGCAGATGTGCGCAAGGCCATTGTGAGAGCGTCAGGCCATATATTTGGCTGTCAGTGAGAGGAAAAGAAAAGAAAAAACAATAAATAGAAAAGAAGACTCGGAAAATGTATGTATTTGTAAAATGCAAGCAAGCCACCGTCCGCTCCGCACACCGCAAAAAAAGGTTCGTTATGGCGTCTGTGGTGTAGCGTTATTGAGATCAGCCCCGGGCCGCATGTCCAGTCAGTGAGCAGTGTCAACCCCGGAAAATCAAGGCAAGATAAAGCAAACAACTGACGGGAGCTTCGAATAATCTGCGGCAAAGATTAAATTAAATCAAAGAAGAAAAATTCCCAAAGGAAAAAAAAGGAAACACAGCAGATTATCCGGTGGGGCATCCTAAAGAAAGAAGACAAAAGACTAAATCCACCAGTGCGGCTCCTCTATTGCCTCTTTGGGGGGTTCCAGCAGGCTTTCAGAGCATTATTTGCGGCACAGACAGACAGAAAAGACAGCCAGACGGACAGATAGAATGTGCTGGACATGACGCCCTCCGCTGTTGACGTGTTCGTGCAGCGCACGCAAAGACGCCAATCATCGAATGCATGGCGGAAGAGGTGTCCATTGATATGGAATTGGAGGGTGTGCCCGTACAATTTAGCCGTATCGAGATTGATAAGTATGAGTACAAATACTCCGGAGCAAACGATTAGTTTTTAGGCCATTATGTAAATGATTCTGTGGGTGAAAAGTCCACCGGAAATGGTTCTTGAAGGTGTTTTGTTTCCGGACTGTTGGTGCTGGCAGTGACAGATACTGACTGAACTGGCCATGAGGGGGGGGACCATGTCGATTCATCTCGACCCGAATCGGGGATAGCAACGTTGTCCCATGAAAATGAGACACATCGGTCTCCAATGCAGGAGGTTGACGGTTGGCTGGAAACACATATTCCTCTTGTGCTGTCGACGGTGCTGATCCGGTGATTTATCAGAGATGAAATACGCTGACCAGTGTTCACAGCGAGTTGTTATATCACTGCTTGTACTCTGTACGGCACGAGTAAGCATTGCCTGAGGTACTGATGTCAGGCTGCCAGGCTGCCAGGCATCCAGGCAGTAAGTCAGGCAACAAGGCATGACATGTCGCGACGCGTGACACGTAAACAGTCGCGCGTCATAGTCGGTTGATATCTACAGAGTACGGAGACTTGTACAAGTATACAAGGCAAGATCATTGATTAGGCTATAGTATACAGCAGTTCTTGCTTGCCTCTCATCAACAATCCGGCAGCTTGCAATTCCAGTTTCTTTCCATGTACTCACGCGCGTTGCAGCGCCCGCGCAATTCCAGCTGCCCATTTCATACCGTTGAAACCATTTCCCAGTCGAAACGAAAACACAAGAACCCTTCATCAGATCGAAATAAAAAAGCATGGAAGAGAGAAACCACCGTCATCTCACACCAGACATTGACTAAGAAACATGAAAGAAAATGGAATCGAAGAACAAAGTCACAGACGAAGAGAAAATGAAATAAGAGGCATCAGAAGAGGAAAACAAATACAAGCCACGATTCGGAAAATGACACAGAAACGCCGAGCGGCCCAGACATCACGAGACCTATGGAAATTGGGGGCATAATCTAGGACGATTCTTCATCTTCCTCGGCCTCGGCGGCCTGCTGCTCCTGGAGGGGGGTCAGCATGACAAGATCTATGAACATCAGAGGGCCATAGCGGGACATACATTGTATTTCTCCTTCTCCTCCTCGTAACGCTTCTTGTCGGTGGCAGCCTTCTCTTCGTAGGGTTTGCGATCCGTGTCGCTCAGGGCCTTCCACTTCTCACCGAGCATCTTACCAACCTGACCTGCACAGACAATTAGCCGGACGAGTCCTTATTGACGCAGAGCTGATGCGACGGTGAGCCTTACCGAACGAGATACCAGGGTTCTCCTCGCGGACCTTTTCCCGGTTGTCGTTGGCGAAGAACATGTATGCCGAGAGACCACGCTTGGGCGCGTTGGGGTCTGGGACGAGTTAGCCAGGATGACCAGGATGAGGAAGGACAGGAATCGGCGAAAGATACGTACCCTTCTTCTTTCTCTCGACTCTAGGCTTGGTCTTGCGGGTGGTGGTCTTCTCCTTAGGCATTTTGGATGATAGGTTGCTGAAGAAGCGTTAGAACGATGAAAAGACCCAATTGGTGTATTGAAAGAGAAAAACGGAAGAGCGCGAAGCAGAAAGGAGGAAACAAGGTGGATGAAGAAGAGAGAAGAAGGTTGAGGGGGAAAAAAAAGAGACGGAAGGAGAGAGAAGGTACGGAGTAGGGTGAAGTGAGTGCGCGTTAGGTGTGGATGCGGCGATGCGCGCGCCCCAAACAGCGACCGGGCGCAAGTCCAAGAATGACGCGCAGGGGGGAAATAGACGATAAAAATGGATGCAACAGAATCGCGAGAACACGAATATTCTTCATCTACAGGGTAAATGTGTGGCAATGGAAAGGAAATGGTGGTTTTGTGCTGTGGAAGTGCGCCCAGTAAAGCGCGCCGCCATAAGGGAAAGAACAGGAATAACGAAGCAATTCCAAGTCATGATAGGGATTGCAAAGCAGATGAGAACAAGAGAATAATAAAAATGAAAAAGGAAAAATGGTGGTGTTGAGAAAAAAAACCAAAACAGAGGCAATGTTTATGAGGAGACTCACCAGAACGGAGATGCAGTACTTTTTAGGGAATTGTATGGGAAGCGAATTTGTATGGGGGAGTTGGTAGTAGAGAGGGAGGGAGAGTAGAGAGTGAGGGAAGAGAGTGAGGGAAAGAGAGAGGGAGTGCGAGAATAATAGCAGAGACTGAGAGTCCGCGGGCGAGGGGTGGTAAGAATGGGCCGTGAGGGTGAGTACAGTATGGTATCGTTTGGTATCATACCCTCCTCTGCTGGTTGTCACTGGCAGCGACAACAGACTGCAAGTAACGTACCGTTATAATGCCCTGTACTGTATTCACCGGTGGGTTTCGCTGGGAGTATGGTGTAATCCCTCTTACACCGAGGAGCAGTTATTGGCTGCGGTTCTCCGACACAGCGCGGTCCTGATGCAGCTCCACCGTCATCCGTTGGTCAGTACAATACGGTATGTACTATTGTATCGTAGTATTACTACCGATTAATATGGAATACGTACAGGGTACTCTACTTTGTACAGAGAGCATTAAAGCCTTCAATGGCCTAGATAATGATTAGCAATCATTCATCACAGAGTACTGATTCCTTACTTGCCATTCTCTCCTTACTCCAGCCGTGGAGTCCATACGTGTTCTGCTGTAACTATGGCCTGGTGGCTCATCACCACCGCTACAAACACCCCATTAGTGCAAAGTACCAGTCACACGCCTGAAGATTTGCCAGAGTACTACCGAGCACGGAGTAATACTATTATTTACGGAGTATTATGTAGGGAATAAAGTAGCCCACTAATATCACTTGCAGGGCGCATCCATAACATAACATCCAGATACAAACGACCTAGGGCACAGACAGAACAGTCGGTAGTACTCCGTAGTAATGCCACTGCATTCCGGTCCCCAAAAAACAGAGCCAAAAATGGAGCCCAACTGCGTCATTGAACAGTGCGTGTCTGTAGCACTGTTACTCTGTACTTTTCTCCGTATTCTCACTCGTCGTACTCGATGCTACTCCTCCTGTCAGTACTGAGTACGTATGGAGTAACTCCTTGGCCGCATCCGTCTTGTGATTGTGTCGAGTGCAAACAATATAAACGCCGGCGAACTGTTTGACTTCTGTAGGACTACTACTACTACTACTATGTAGGAGTAATAAATACAGCAAGTTCATTTTTATTTAGCAACCATGATTGTTCTCATTTAGACGCACTGTGGTCAGCTTTGTCAGATGCAAACCGTCGTATGGCCTGTTCTGAGGTAGATTCTGGCCCCAATGACCATTGACTGTCACAAGGCCGAGGACTGGCCTGTAGCGTTCTATCTGAATCCTCCTCCCATTTGTCACTCTTCAGTTTCTTTTGCTCGCCATGATCATCATCGTCTTCGTGCGACCATGGCCTCTTGTATTGGTCATCGCATTGGGTGTTGGAGAGGCTCTTTTCACGCAACCCATGGTCGAAAAAGTACAAATGCTTGAGGGTTTCCAGCTGAACTCGCGTCTCCTCTTCCTCCTCCTCCTCCTCCTCCTCCACAACACATTCTCGAGGACCACCCAGCACAAGGATACTCCGACATATGGCACCCATTGGGTCCCCGTGCCAGGGACGCGGTTCAGAGAGCATTTCCACATAGTCATCTGTCAGTTGCCCGCCCAGTGCGTAGTCCTCCAAGAAGACAGGTCTGTATAGGCCCCCTATATCCTTTGCAGAAACCTTGCCCTGCGAGATTTGATAGTCTTTATAATCTTCGGCCGTAGGGACCACACGGGATTGTCTGCCTTTCTTCCCCCTCTCGTTCAGCTCGAACTGAATAAAATAGTCCAAATCTTCGGGCAAAAGTACGAGACCTGGATCGGCTTTATCATATTGAAAATGACAAAACTGGCACAGAGTGATGCCGTTCGCAGTAGACATATAGCTGGGCTTGTATTGCCCGATGACATGACATGCTTCTGCGTAATATGATCCGCACACCCAGCATCTCCCTTTGGTATATCCTTCTATTTGGAGCTTGACAGGGTCTGGGAAGATATCTGGTCCGTATTCACTATCTGTATTCGAATTCGCCATTTTTGATAACTGCGCAAGGTAGACTGGGAGAGTTGTTGACGAGAATAGGAGATGTAGAAGGGAATGAAGGCAGCAATCTGACATATGGATAATCCAAGTATTATCGTCATTGCTCCAGGCAGCCATCGGTTGTGTAGTTTTGGCTTAGGGCAGTCATCAGCAAAGAGCTCTAAAACCAGTGCAAGGGCAAGGCTCGGGAAAATAATACGTATGTTCCAGCAAATCCGGATCACACTCCCGTATGTACTTATATGCAGTGTAAAAATGTACATAGAATGGAGTGACAATTAATTCTCCAAAGTCTTACGTACAGCTGAACATCGATTAGCCAACAATCGACGACACAAAATAAACAGATGAATAAATCAATCATCGGATTCATCAAGCACAAGTGCATTGAGCTTGTCATCATCTGCCCAGTTTACGCCACTGCCAACCACAATGGCGCTAGCAACGTTCTTTATGACTTCCCAACGCGCTTGGCACTTCTGCTGCTCCGCATCTAGCGCGTCCAGTTGCGCCCGGAGATCCCGATCTTCCAGTTGGTCCCTCCACGAACCATCCGGACCGGTCAGTTCCAATAGCTGACGCACTAGTTCCCGATTTTTGTCGTGGATCTGGCGGTTCTCCACCTCCAGGTTCGATAGTTGCCGTAGCGTCGCATTATGTGCAGTATGGAGGTTTTCATGTGCGAGTGACAGGACGTCGCGGCGATTTATAAGACGGAGAAGATCTCTGAACCAATGTCAATATGTAGATCTAGGGTGTATATATTTGCATACTTGTGGGCGCGCATATGGACATGGGTATAGGACTGTCGTACCGTTCAGCTGGTGAAGTGGCTTTCAGGTGAACTGCTTTCAGACTTGGTTCGGTCATAAGAGCCGTTCCCACTGCTTTCCTCCTGACGGTATATGTCGCTCGGGCCTCGAGTAGTTCTTGTTCCGCGATCGCGAGTTGCTCGTCGACATTCTCCCCGGAGACGTTTTCGGACTCTATACGGAAAACTTAAATTAGCATGACCAAAAAGCAAAAAACAAGGGATAAGAACGCACCCTGCCGTAGAAGCGCCTTTTCCAGCTTCTGTTCCTGAACCCGATGGTACAGCTGTAGGATCATAGCCTCCTTGTCGGACAACGGCGCAACATCGCGAGCATCGTCGGCTGCCAATTCCAACAGAGACACTTCACCCTCCTCCAAATGAGGTAGAGACTGGACCTTTGTAGAGGATGCCATGAGTGACCCCAAAGCTCACATCGTGTGATATCCCGTTGTAGATTAATCTGGCTGAGACACGGCGCGGGCGGCGGAGTGTGATGAAAGAGTTGGGTTGCGGGATTGTGCCTGGTTCCGGAGGCATGTCACCGCTACGGCTGGGGATAACTAGCTCCGAACGCTTATTTTTGATCTTCATCATCGTTTCATCTCTTCTTCTTCCTTATCCCCTGTTATCTTTCGATCCTTTTTTCTTTTATATCTCTTTCCTTTTTCATTCTTTTCCGATAAGAGCCTCCGAGTGCTGGTTCAGTGCTGGTGCGGAGGGGATGTCATTGCACATCTACATTGCTCACACTGGTGAGCATTTCTTAGCAGATCCGGTGTCGTTCGCCTCGTACGTTCATGCGATATACCCTATAGCTATCTGAAGATAGAATAATTCGTTTCCCTGCTTGTCTTTGCTCTGGCTAACCTGTGCTCTCTCCGGTCGCTAGCCCCGACGCCCTTCGGTCATGGATTGCCCGCCATACTTCCATACCCTCCCAGAGGCAGATCTTGATGACTGCTCGGGGAAAGAACGTCAAGATCCAGTCTCTAGCGACAGAGGTATGCTTCAATCGTTCATATTCTCTATAACCAATGCTAAAGCACTACGCAGGATGAAATCTTCGTGTACGACCGGGGCTACGTCAGTGAACCAGGCAACGTCGACCTCCCACAACTTCCGGCTCCACAACCCATACAACCTGATAACCCTCCCGATACCCTCGCAAACCAAACCGATTTACAATCATGGCGGAATCTCTACATGGCCCGGAGAACGTGGGCTTTTGACCTAGCAGAGCGGTGCGAGTCCATTGATCGGAGCGTGCGGGAGCATAACGAACGGACCGATATAATCAATCGAGCAGTGGGTGTCGCCCTCGAGAACCTCAAGTCACACGTCGGGAGTCTGGAACAGCGCTTTGCAGAAGCCCAAGCCTGGGCACGCGATCTCTTAAAGGAACAACGGGCAGCGCTGGATGGGTGGCAACGGGCCCTAGGTACCTTGGGGAGTATTCCGGCCCGCAAGGAATTTACGTTCCTGGGACGTCCATCGACGCCGACGAAGGACCAAGACAGGCCATCGGGAACATTACGAGATTTCGTGGACGTGGAAGAAGTGCGGAGAGCTGGAGCAGATGCCTCCGCCGTGTCTCCCCGCTTCGCTCGTCAAGTGGAGGATGTCGAGCGGGCCATTGGTACAATTGTATCGGATACCCAGCGTTTGATTCAGGAAGCTCTACCATCTGGTGCAGAAGGAGTGGGCGGGCTGCTTGAGGAGGTGGAAACCCTCACCAAGAAAATCAGCTCCGACTATGAGCATGTGCTGGCGCTGCCCAGCAATCAGAAGACGCTGGCCAATATTTCTCGACTCGCTTTGAGCCATACCCAGGACCTCTTACCTTCCTTGCTTGATATTGCTACGGAACTCAAAACCGCACTGGACAACGCCGTCGCCCGGTATAACAATGTCATGAAAGGTTCTCTCAACCACATGCATGTCATTTCATCGATCGAATTTCGCCTCGCGGATATGCAAAATCAACTTATCAACCTCGATGTACAAGGTGACTCGTTTGAGCTTATCTATTCCGTTTTTCACATGCCCATGATCTATGGATCAATCCTAGTCGAGTGCGTCCGGCGGCGTGAATGGAACGACAAAATGAAAAATGATTCGTTAACACTAGCAGAGGAGATGGCTGTGTTCAGGGACGAGGAACAACGTCGCCGAAAGAAGTGGATGAAGAACATGGGAGACTACTTGTCGCTTCCTGATGGCGCTGTCCCAGGAATTGAAGTGAACTTGCAGGGCCAGGATCACGAATGGCCCGAAGTCAGTAGGAAGGAGATTGAAATATACCTCGAGGAGCTAAAGGGCAAACCGGGGCTGGCCACCATAGCCCAAGAGCTAACCCAGATGTACAAAGATTTGGATGCTCCAACCCGCCAACAAAGACGCAGAGCCAAGGCATTCAAACAAGGTAGTATCTTCGACATGGGCAGGAGCTCTTTCTTACTGCGTGGTGATGAGATGGTCCGAAGTCTTAAAGATGAGAAGACGAAGCTTGAGGACCGATTGAGAGGTTCTGAAAGTCGTATCCGCAAACTCGAAGATCTTCTCCATCGCCAGAGTCACATGAGCCACATGAGCCGCCCAGCAAGTGGCCATTTTGGTGTTGAATTCCCCGCCTCGCCAGCGTCCGCACACCCTGATCCGATGTCGAGGCGTTCGTCCGTCTCGTCAAGGCGGATGTCGACGAATCAGTCTACAGAAGAGAAGGCATTGGCTCAGCGTATCGTTACGCTTGAGGCTGAATTGGCTGCTGAGAGGGAGGCAGTACAGCGGCTCCAGAAAGAAGCCCATGCTGAGCGGCAGTCTAACACGGACAAGATACAAGAAGAACAGTCAACCAAGAAGGATCTCATGGGCAATCTCGAATCTCAACAGCGAGAGTTCGAGGAGGAACGCAAAATGCTCGAAGGTGAAGTGAAGCGGTTGACATGCGAGTATGAAGAGGTCGAGGAGGCACTCTATAAGGAGATGGACAGCCGCGAACACGAACGGCAAGACCTCGATGAGCGGGTACACCAGCTGGAGTTGGAGCTGCAGGATGCTAATACAAGTGCTGAAGTTAAAGCTCAGAAGGCGAGCAACTTGTCAGAAGAGGCAGAATCCGAGAGACAGAGTCTCCGGGAGAAGCTCAACGATTTGGAGAAGCAAGACGCGGAACGACAGAAACGGGATCAGGAAAATTGCAATGCTCTGCAGACCGCACTTTTGAATCTGTCTCCTGGCGGCGTAGTACCTGACGACATTCCCGGCATCATCAAGGCAATTGAAGTCCTCTCGGAGGGTCTGTCGATACACGCTAAGCGTGTGGATGAGAATGTGGCCAGCGCCACAGCTGAGTGTAAAGCTCTCGAGGAGCGTTTGAGCCAGACGGAGTCCGAGGCTGGGGAATTGAGGAAGACATCGGAGGCACGCGAAGCCGAACTGTCTGCTGTGACATCAGAGTTGAATGATGAACGGTCGAAACTTAAGGACCTTCAATCTCAATTCGTGGCTGGTGAGACGGGCTCCGATGCCCTGCGACAACGAGTGGCAGAGGGGGAGCAGAAATTGGCTGATGCGGAGGCCAAGGCACGCCAATCCGAGGAAGAGCTAACTACTTGGAAGAACAAGGTCGCATCCGCATCGCAATCTGAGCAGAAGGCTGCATCTCGAAACGCAACCCGGAGGTCACGATCGGAAGAGCTTTCAAAGCAGCTCTTTGGAGTGGTTGAACGGTTCGGACGCATGCTTGAACAGTTGGGCTTCATTGTCGTTAGACAAAGTGGCAATATTGTGGTCCAGAGAGCATCGAAGGTCAATGCTTCCACCGAGAACCTCTCTCAATCCGACATTGTCTCACTTAAACCCGATCCGGACGTGATGAATTGGATGGACGCCGATAGTTCTGAGGAAGAGACTGACCGCTTCATGTTCTTCATGGAAACTTTGTACCAGTTTGACGTCGATGTCTTTGGGGATGCAGTCGTCAAGCGCGTTAAAGATATCGAATTGCTTGCCCGTAAATGGCAGAAGGAAGCCCGCGGATACAGGGAGAAGTATCACCGGACGCACAGCGACGCCCATGATAAGATCGCCTACCGCTCCTTCAAGGAAGGTGATCTTGCCCTGTTCCTTCCAACACGGAACCAAGCCATCCGCTCCTGGGCCGCGTTCAACGTCGGAGCACCTCATTATTTCCTGCGTGAGCAGGACGCCCACAAGCTCCAGGCCCGCGACTGGCTGCTCGCCCGTATCACCAAGATCGAAGAGCGAGTCGTTGACTTATCCAAGTCGTTGAATGGCACCAACCCCGACCGACGATCCGTGGGCGAAGTCAGCGACGGCATATCCATCGACGAAGAAAACCCATTCGAATTGTCCGACGGTCTCCGCTGGTATCTCGTGGACGCTACAGAAGAAAAACCCGGTGCCCCCGCGACACCAGGTCTGGGTAAGAGCACCGTTGCGTCCGCTCATGTCGACGCAAGAGGCAGTATTCGGTTAGGACGCCCATCCTCCGCAGGAAACGTTGCCAAAACGTTAACCAAGAGCCTGGACAGCCGTCGCAACAGTTCGAACTCCAAGAGAGGACCTTCGTCCCAGCTTGCCAATGACTCTACGACGGATCTTACCCGAGTTGATGAGGCCGAGCCTAGTTCTCGGCCACAGGAGACAGCTGACGAGGTTCGCCGCGACCCGCCTCAGGGCACTTGATTCTGTCCTGCGGGGCCCTTGCTTTGTTATCTACGTCCTCCCGATCGGGAACTGACGTGAAGCATTCTAGGGCTCGCGACGAATGCATGAGTCTACGTCAACGGCGCAGCGGCAACAACAACGACGAGAGCCAGGAAGCCCGCTTCGTGCCTCACAGGTTCTAGTGCAGAACGCAGATACATCACCATCACGCTCGATGACCAGCCAACGTTCCGATACGAGATTCCGGCCGTGGGAGAAACTTTTGTCACTCGATTATAGATTAGAAGGGAGTCGTTAGCTTTGTTTTCATTAGCATATTGTTTATTTGCTTTTTGGTTTGGATTATAGCGCATTTGATTCCAATGGCGGTACGAATGATGGAATATTTTGGTTTTTATGTTTCCTGCTTTGGACTTTGATTACATTCTGGGAGACTGGTCATGCTATGTTTGAGTGATACCCATATACGCGAAATGCAAGCTGTTTTTTGATATACAGAATATATTAAACTGAACCGAAAGAACATGGTATATGCAATTCCCGTCATTTGACCATTAAGAAACACGCCACGCCGATCTATAACTAGCTGAACAACGCCTTTAATGAAGGAAACCAACTGAAAACACGACAACTCGGATTAATCAATTTGGTCAAGGAACCCCTCAATACCACCGACTTCTCTCCAAAGACTCGAGAAATCGACACCCCCTTCTTCGAATAGTTGCTTCGCCTGCACCATAGCAGACTGCTGCCGTTCAGTGGTAAACCCACCAGGCAGCGTACTCTCATACTGAATGATCTCAACCCACCGGAAGAACAAATCCTCCTTGCCAATGGCAGCCAGCTTCTCCCGGAACGCGAGGATTTGGTCCCGCTGCTCCGAATATTCTTCACCATCCGGAGTGGTACTGCTCTCATCACCAACACGCCAGATCAACCAGCCGTCAGTGTCTGTGTTAACGAGGACCGCAGTCCGGAACTCCTCCAGCGGGACTCTATCATCCTTGTTCTTCCGTGCCGGGTCGACGAGCTCCTGCGCGCGGATCATGGCGTCGTAGTCTAGGTCCCAGTCTGCGTCGACGAGCATGTACCCCGGTTTCTCAAGGCGCTCTGGTGTAACGGCGGCGACGATACGGTCGCGGCTGGCTTCATCCTCCCGGATCCACCGATTGCGCACCAGGTCCTTGCTCCAGATATTCTGGCTGCGGCGGACGATGATCTCGTGGCCCTGGAAACCGATGGAGCGGCGCCACTTGACGGGACCCCGAACGAAGCGGATGGGCCAGGGGAGGAATATAAGGACGAGAAAGTAATCGAAGACGACGTTCGCGGTGCGGTAGAGGATAGTCTTCATCATCTCGGGCCAAGTCATTGTCGAGGCATCTACTGTCGTGGAGCTGGACAATCCGACGATTGTGGCTAGTAAGGCTGGGTAGAAGAAGCGGACGAAATAGGCTCTGACGGCGATAATCACGGCGATGAGCGCATTCATTACCGAAGGGACGAAGAAGGTTTGTTTCTTCAGGTCATGCGGGGAGGTGTCGATGTGGATTAGGTAGACTTGGTTTGGGGAGAGCTGTTCGACGAAGGAGGAGAGAGATTCGGGGGCACGGGCGAAGGGTGGGAGAGGACCGGACTCTGAGCTTGGTGTTGAGGCGCCGGAGGAGATTGAGGGGGTTAAAGCGCCTTTGCCTTTGCCTGCTCGTCTTGCAGACTTGGCCATGTTGACGTTCTGTGTTATTCTGGTTCCCGGGTGTTGTTTGTTGTGGTTGGGTATAGATCGGGTTCGTCGTGGTTATTTTTAACAGTCCCGGCGAGGAATTTGATTCGGATACGTGTTCCAGCGCAATATGTGTCCTCAGAGGGTTCGTGATTTATAAGGATCGGATATAGAAACGGCGAAGTTGACACAGCTGATCTGGTCGCATGGCCACTGGTTAGTCGATCACTGCTCCTCAAAGCTATCGAGTTGAGTACTTACTGGATATCTGCAGATCAGCTGAATAGAGCCCTTGTGGCGTAAATGTGCTGCGAGCCCTTCACAGATTGAGAATAAAGAAGTGTTGTTCAATCTTCACAGCCACCGCGGAATGACGCTGTTTTTCCTTTCTAAGATGCTCCGCACCGCTAACCCGATCGGGAAACACAGTCTCCGCTGCTCTAACTATAAATAACCCTACAATAATATGTAATGTGTGAGGATCAATACAAAGCTGCTTGTTTATATACTGTGTACTGTAATGACATCCTACTCCGTATACGGTCAAATCACCTACAAGCGTAAGGTAGGCTGACTGTTCGAATATATATATATACATATGTGAAAATGTTCAAACATTTATATAAAGAGCCAGTAAGCAAAGTACATTCCTATCCCCCATAAGTACACCAGGTCAACAATAGATAGAAGCACAAGCGTCTATTGAAGGGCTTGGAGTGAACTTCCTGGGCAGGAGTGAAGACAATAGCAACGTAAAAATCACACGTCACACGTGTTTTTTATTAATGAAAAAGCAAAATAGAGACAGTCATAAACGGTTGTCGAGTCGTAGACAATCATAGTTCCCGAACCATGGTCGTAGCATCCGAACTTTCAATAGTGCAGAACATGCGGCCAACACGTGGGAAAGAAAAATGATGTGAATAAGATGAGGAGAAGAATCCAATCCAGACGCCTAAGACTCTTTAGCCATAGCTCCTATCCTCTGGATCATACGATAAATGCGCCTAGTCTTCTCGTCTGCTTTTCCCTTTCGGAGCGCCTCATGAAGGTCTTTGATGGGCAGATCAAACGACCTCCCATTAATTGTGATAGCTGGTGACTTATCGGAGGTGGCTTCGACGGATTTGCAATTGTACTGGTAGACAGGTAACCGAGGCTACTTTTTCTTGTAGATGGGTATATATAAACCTTTGCCTCTAAGTCACTAATAATATTGAGGCCTTTCTTGTCGTAGTAAGCTTCGATCTTCAAGTCCAGTTTATTGTCTAAGTATAGTTTGTGAAGAGTTGCGTGGTCTGATGCTAGACCCCAGGGTGACTCGTCCTTCGTATGTTGTTTACTCCCCGACACCTTTACGATAATGACGAGAGCAGTTCGACCCCAGGATCCTTTCATGATCCTCTCAGCGTCGTAAAACAACTTGTCCAGAGGTTCCGCAAAGCCCACTCCGACGGCCATGAGCGGATAATGCTCACCTGCTTTGAATAGAACCACACCTGGGATCTTCTTGTCGTCGCGATCTAGGAAAATCTTGTACAACGTACACGGCCGGTACTCGTTATTGCTACCCGAAAGCTGGTAGGCTGCTTCTTGAAGCCACTTAACCATAGTTCCTACTACGTGCTGGTGAACAGGCGTTAGAGGGGCAAAGATGGTGATTTTCTTGCTTCAGAAGTCGTATTCGGCGCTCGGTGCATCCTCATCCTCGTAAAGCTGTTTATACCAGGTATCGAAATCCTTCGGCTCAACCAGGTAGATATTAGTATTCTTACTTTGCTGGGGTGATGCACGTGTTATTGTATACCTTGATGTTGGGAATCTCAACCTTCTCGTAGTAGTTCCTGAAGATAAATTTAAATACCGCTGGTGTTATGTCACTGAGGAAACGAAGCCCGTCAATTAAACCAGTCTTCTGGTCCATGGAGACTCTGTGCGTTACGTGCTTTAGGTGTGAGATGAGGTTGAAAGCAGTGTTCTGACAGACTTCTGAGCAACGCTACGCTACTATGACATCCACACTAGCATCTGAGGATGCCTAGCTAGCTCCTCATATTTCCCAGCTATCCAACCCATTAGACAGGGAAAGCTACACAAATCTGAATTTATTTGTACTAGAATAGGACCATGCATCCCGTTGTTCCTTGCAGGGTTCTCTGCCTATTGGTCGAGGGTCGGGCGTACTGTTAGGGCAGGTTATATTGACCGCCTTTGGGTTCTGCCAGTATCGGTGATAGTGGGATCCGAAAGTAGCAGCAACAACGCATAATCATGACCGCGTATTCACAGCGCTGTCCAGCAACAATTCGACCCTTCGTTTCTATATGAGTGAATGAAAATTACCCGCGCGATTCATCTTAAAGGGGGCACCGATTAACTACAACCCATCATGGCATACCCCGACCGCATCAGCGACCGGCTCCAGTCGCGTCGCAGCCCCGAACAACCGCGAACACTCGACAACAACAGGAATCTATTTGACATCTTAAGCCCTCGGAGGCCAATTCGAGACAGTCCGCAACACCAGAGACACTTCAACCACACAAACACCTTGAGCGGGGCATACGCGGCCGCGGGAGGAGACAATTTCGCGCTCGACAATTCCTACGCGCCGGGGACCCCGAGTCCTAGTAGGAGAAGGAGCATGACGATGACCGCCTCCACGTCGCCGCAGTCGAACCCACCGGATGAGATAGTAGCGGCATACCACCAGATCAGAGGCGACAAGGGTATGGTGGATGATGATTATGTGCAGGATTACCTAGGACTGGATGGGACAGGGGCGGGGCGTTTATCACCAGGAGCTGCAGAAAGGTATGCTGAGGATGTGTCTCTGGACCCATTCACATCTGGCGACGCGGATTTCTTGGACAACGTTACCGACGGGTCCCCTCGCAGGTCGCATTCGGACTATATCGATGACGAGAGACGACTCAGACACGTGATAACCAGTCAATCGCCAGTGCTCACTAAGAGCGGGATACATTCAGGATTGACATCTGAAGATCTACAGCGGCGCGAGGAGGAGAACCAAGAAGACTATCCGGAGATGGAGGTCGAGGAAGATGACCGCGGGGCTCAACCTTCGTTAAACCTCCCCCGGACCTGGGGTAGCCGTGCAACAAACCCTCGGAGCTGGATGAGGAATATCGCCCCCCGGAACGAGAGTAACTCGCGGGATCAAGTGGATCATCAAGCTGCGGACGACTTCAGGCCAAAGTCCAGACTTGGGTACACGGACACTACTCGCCCATCTCGGAATACTGAGCGCCCACCGCATCGCACAAGTCTCGAGACACGGAGTGCTCTGAGGGAACGTTCGACAAGTGGTTATAACCGAAGCGCACCAAACGACGAACTGAACAAGCCGGTTTCACAACAGAAAGACCAACAATCAACCGAAGGGGGCCAGGGCTCCAACACACCCGTTTCGGTTTATAAAAACTCGACATTCAACAAGCGGAGTCCTGCGAAACGTGATTCTCACGACCTCATTCGCAAGCTATCCAGAAACGAGAGCCCAAGAGTGAACGGCTTTCAAAATGAGAATCAAATGAAGACCCCCGAGCAGGCGAAACAGCCTGAAAGGCCTATTTACGATAAAACACCTGTGGTCACAGGCGCATGGATCGATACACCGATGACGGAGAAGGTCACTGAACTCCCGGAACACCTTTCAAGGGACATCGTTCCATCGCCTCCAGGGAGACAAGAGCCTCAGAATCCACCAAAACAAATAGAGCTGCACACCGATAAACGGCCACCTGAACCTCAACCGAGTCGACAAAGAGAAAGGGAGCCTGCAAAGGAGGAGCGGGTGGAAAGAAGAGAACAAAAGGAAAAAGAGGCGGAGAGAGAGAAGGAGAAGACGAAGCCGCCAGTGACCAAGCCTGACGTGCCAGGGAGTGGGCTTGAGGCATTTCTACTGAATCCAAATGCCAACGGAGATACCCCGGGGGACGATACGCTCGAATCTCTCCAGGAAATTCTAAATGGGCAGCCGACTGAAGTGAAGACTGAAGCGGAGGAGGACGCAGCTTATGAAAAAGCCATCTTGAAAAAGCTTGAGCGTGCAAGTCCCGAGGAGCCAGCAAAGGACGATGTCGAAAAAATTGATGACAACTTAGTATCCCTGGGGGTCCGCATCAAAGAAATGAAAGCGGGAATCGCTAGTATCGAGGAGAAATTTAAGCGAGAAGGCAAGCATATCCACGCCGGCGGGAACTGCTCATCCTGTGGCTCGCACGGCGACGGCCGTCTTTACGCCTACATCCCACTCCCATACCTATGGCGACGAGACCCAGTCACACGACGCATTCGTCCCACCCGCTTGACCTGGTTTCTACTTCTCTTCCTCACCTGGTTCTTCTCCGAATCCACAATGTGCGACCACTACTGCCGTCCCAGATTCGCAACAGCCTGTCACGGCAACTGTCTGAAACCAGACGCACCCGAGTTCCCCTTCGTGATTCCGACGATGCTATGGCGCTGGTCGCATATTTCGTCGTTCCTGGCACCGGCTTTCACGATCGCCTTCGCCTTCTTCAAACTCACCATGCAGCTTATGGGGCTATGGGATGGATTTGTGGATGATGGCCCGCCGCCCCGAGCTCTGAACCTTACGGGCGAGATACGGATACATGGGACACGGATCGCTGGGTTTCCATCTGCGACGTCGACTCCGGTGATCAACTCTCCTCCGCAACATGGGCAGCCGTATATTCCGGGACTCGGCGTGCCGCCGTGGGAGGAAGATAAGTCCTCGATGGAGGATGATGAGTTGCTCTATTAGACGTCCTTATTTCTTTCTTACATTCCTTCTCTTCTTTGTCACTTTTGGGAGTTTCATATCTTTGCATTTTCGGGAGCAGCGGTGACGGCCGGCGTTGGATAATGGAGTTTGTTGGTTATTGATCTGTGTTTGGTATTTCGTGGGAATTGTATTCTATACGGTTGATTGTCAGCGTTTTGTTCATACCCCCTGTCTACCAATATAAGGTGTTTCGATATTTCAATGCTTTACAATCTGTACATTTACGTTCTGCCTTTGGACTGGCAAGAATCTAATCTTATCGATAAGATTAGATAAAATGATGAAGCACGCGACTGGACCAGGAGCTAGAAGATGTTCATATATTTGAAAGGTGGTATAAATATTATTTTCAAGTACTTAAACGTGTATCATATGTACTTGTGTGCCTATGTGCAGAAATCCAACAAACCATTTACACAAGCGCATCCCTACCCACGGGGTATACCGTAATCGAAAACAAGAAACAAAGAAACATCATAACCACAAGAGAAGAAAAGCCTAAAGCTTAGCCCTCTCCTGAATCTGCTTCACCAACTCCTTCTCCCCCTCAATTCTCCAATACGTACTCCTCCTCAACCTCTCCAGCGCATCCTCATCACTAACCTCCACAATCTTATCCAACGGAATCTCCCTCTCATCCTTCAACTTAAACCCGACAAACGTCCCAGTCCCCGGAGACTTCCCGATGTCACCAGCAGCAGCCTTGCGCATGAACTCCGTCATACCGCTGAAAAACCGCTTCCCCGCGGGCGTGCTGACCATGAGAAGACCGAAGCAATGCGGCATGCCCTCGTATTGCTCGACGAAGACGGGGACGCCGGACTGGTGCATCTTGCGCGCGACGATGAGGCCTTCGTCGGAGAGGCCTTCTTCGCCGACGGAGATGAAGACGGGTGGTGCGTCTTTCCAGAGGGATTTGTCTGCTGCTAGGGGGGAGACGAGGGGGTGGGCTGTTGCGGAGGCGTTGCAGTAGAGGTCGACGCGGGGTGGGTCGCGGGGCCAGAGGTCGTCTTCTGGGACTGGGATCGGGCGGTAGATGGTTTCCGGGGCTTGGGATGGAGGTTTGAGGTAGTCGAGGTAGGCGTTGTTGACGACGGAGGGCATGGAGCGGGTGATGTCGCACCAGGGGGAGCTGGTGGCCAGACCTGCGGGGAGGTCGATGGGGACTTCTTGGCCGTGGAAGCGGATGGTTGGGGAGACGCGGCGGAGGGTGAGGAGGGTTTGGAGGAGGACGAGGGAGAGGTTTCCACCTGCTGAGTCGCCGGCTAGGATGATTTTGTTGGCGGGGACGGGGTCGTGGAGGGATCCTGGGGGTGGGTGGATGAGGGAGAGGTATGCGACTAGGGCGTCGACGAGCGCGGAGGGGAATGGGTGTTGGGGGGCGAGACGGTAGCGGACTGAGAGGACGGGTGCACCGGTATATTTGGAGAATTGTGCGACTGGGACACGGTGCGTGCAGGGGTCCATCATGCTGTTGGAAAAAGCAAGCAAACCGTTAGTTTTGGCTAACGATTTTCGTCATACAGGCAAGGAACAAGCAACTTACAAGTATGCCCCTCCATGGAAGTACAAGACAACAGAATCCGTAGACGCCTCCTTGCGCAATTCCTTGTACTTCTCTTCCTCCGAGATCTCAGGCTGCGGCGCCTTCTTGTCGACACCTTTGCGATACCCCGTCCATTCGGCCTCGACAGGCCCAACTCCAGGAATGTCAAACGTCTCCCCACCCACGTTCAATGCCTCGATCGCCTTTATCACCGCATCCTGAATATCATCCTCGGGCTGCGGCAATGTGATATTCGAAACCCATATAGGACCCTGAATACCCGGATCGCGCATGCTGGCGATCTGCTGTTTGCGGAGCGGCCGTCGGAAGTCCATGAAGGACCGGATAATAGCGACAGTCATTTCAGTGCGCAGGTCTTGCTTCCCGGCTACAGATGACATGCCAATGCCATGGAGCAAGATCGTCTTGACCATGAGGGGGATCCGAGGCAGCATCGCCTTCAGAAAGGCGATTGGGTTGTCGATGGAGGCCATGAGGGGCGGCGGGACAACCGGGTAGGAAACAATGCAGTCAATCCGGAGAGAGAGAGAGAGATTGGAGAGGTGAGACGCTGAGATAAAGCAGACAATCCCTAAGGCGACCAGTCCTGTTTTATATGCGCCGTATTCCGTATTTCGTGCAGCTTTTGTTCCTCGGCTCCGGCGTTCAATGAGGAAACCGGTTGCGATTATTCAGCAATCTTCCTGTGGCGGTGGCGGTGTTGGACTCGTGGAGGTAGCGTACGTGGTGCTCGTGCTTTTCGATGAGGGCAACGCTAGACTCTTTTCGAGGCAATTGAGACTACGTCTGGCTGTAGAGTTCTCGAGCTGTCTGAGAAGTTGGCGCGATCCATGGTAGGCTGTAGTAGGTACGGAGTACAGGGGGCCACTGAATCATGTATCTACTCCAAGATACGTTGATGGTAGTGAAGAAAATCTGTAGGCAATGTAATCGACACTGAAATTCATGCATTCGTGGCAGTCTGTGTGCACTTTGGTGTGAATGATACTGTACAATGGTGCTGTATCTGGATAGTGCCTGCACCATTCTCAATGACCCCTCAGGCATAGCGTCATAGCTTCGGGGATGCAAATGAAAAGATATCAACAAAGAGTGGAAGAAAAATCACAAGCTCTTCTCGGGCTCCTTCGCCTGGGCCAATCCATTCTCCGGGACCGAATTCTGAACCTTGTCCAGGGACGGCTTCCTGGAATGCAGAACACCTTGATAAACCGGTTGCTCCTCTTCCTTCAACCCAGACCCCGTAGGATCCCTGCGTATGAGGAAGTGCTGCATCTTCGCCTCAGACGAACCACCCTGGTTAGTCGTATTCTGCTGGCGCCCCGTTAGAAACCGGGCTGATTTCTCATTAACCGCCCGGAGTCGCTCCTCATATCCAGTATTGATCTGGGTAATCCATGATGCCTGCACGGCGCCTCCAAACAGGGTAAGAAGAATGATGGCCTTGGCAAAAGTCCGATGGTCAACAACATGCCGCTGCTTGGGCTGATGTCGATTATGCCACCGCTCCCAGTCCTCCCATGTCGCATTGGCGAATATAGGCCCGGCTCCATCATAGCCTGGTCTTGACCACGAGCCCATCGGTCGAGGTGGATGTAGACTCCATCCGAGGCCGAACTGATCGTATGCGGCCCGCTTAGACGGATCCGAAAGAATCTCGTGGGCTTCCACCACTAAATGATACCTTTGGAGTCTTACTTCTTGGGAGATGCCTTTGCACAGCGGATGGCCGTTACATGGCCGATCGGGGTGGTAGATCTTCACGAAATCGTAGAAACGGTGTTTTGAATACGGAGCTCCGCGGTCTTGCTTGAATAGGTCGTAGGGGGTGAAGGATGTGGTCGCCGGCCAGGTTATATCACTATTTGGGATACCATGGACTGTGGCATAGAATCTGTTGTTGAAGACTGTCTGTGTACGGGAGATGTTGGCATGCGATGCGGGCGGGTTCAGTAGTTGGAGTCCACCACAGCACAGAATGTTGGCTTTCTTGGGCATGGCCGCATGGTTTCAAGACAGGAATCGCGGCCTGCCATCCATAAATTGTAACAATGAGAATAAAAATGATAGCAAGAGAATATTGAGAGTGAAGATGGTAGAGAAGGCAAAGCCCGTCGCTATCCGGCGTCTGTGTCACGTGGTCCGGCTGGGTCAAACTCCGCAAACTCGCGAACAGAACAGCTCATATTCCTCTCAAATCCCCGCATGCGCATCCATTGAGCAAATATGGCAGGGTCCCCAGACGACTATCCTGATCGCCGTCGACGGCGGTCTCCTTCAGATTCGCCTGCACGCGACAGCGGTCGACGACGCCGTGACGAGCATCGAAGCTCCCGCAGAGATAGCTCCAGGAGACGGTCATCGCGCAGCCCATCCGGTCGGGGAAGTCACAAAAGGGATCGCGATCATCGCCGTCGAGAACGCAGGGGCTCAGATGATGGTGATCGCAGGAAGAGGAGACACGCATCCCCCGAAGAGCGCTCCCACCGACGACGCCGTGACCGAGACGCGTATGACAATCGAGACAAGCCTTCCCGCAGACGACGGAGTGTATCACGGACTCGCTCCCCTTCTCGACGCTCGCGCAGTCCCCCTGCAAGGGCGCTGGAACGATCCAAACGTCCCCTTTCTTCCCAAAACGAAGCGTTCACATCGACGGAAGTCACAAGGACGGGGGGGGAATCGTCGGAACCGCCAGTTGAGAAGCAGAAGCCCAACTTTGCCAATTCGGGACGCTTAGCAGCAGAGAGCAACACGGTCGACGTCAATGGAGGAAAGGTGGTTCTCAAATACCACGAACCCCCCGAGGCACGCAAACCTCCGGCCAAGGAACCATGGCGTCTCTACGTGTTCAAAGGAGAAGATCTTTTGGAGGTAGTGGAGCTATACGAGCGTAGCTGTTGGCTTGTCGGAAAAGAACGAATGGTGGTAGATTTCCCCCTGGAACACCCAAGCTGCTCCAAGCAGCATGCGGCCATTCAGTTCCGTTATGTCGAGAAGAGAAATGAGTTCGGGGACCGGATTGGAAAAGTGAAGCCATATCTCATTGATCTCGAGAGTGCCAACGGTTCCACCTTGAACGGCGAAGCGGTCCCGGCGGCACAGTATGTGGAGGTGCAGGACAAGGACGTGCTCCGATTTGGGTTGAGCTCTCGAGAATACGTGATGCTACTGCCGCCTCCTGAAGCGAGGTAACCAGGTTGCCCAACTCTAGAGAAATTGCAGAATACTACGACATTTGACCGCAACGTGAACAGTTTCACCAGAACTTGGTCAATTAATGATACATTAATGTACACATGGAAACGCAAATACCATGCCACAAGAAAAGCAGGGCAGCAGGAAACTGATTTAACGGGTAGCCTCATGAACCTTCTGTTTGGCTTCATTGGCGGCCTCCCCAGCCTTGGACTTGCCCTCCTGAGCATATTTGGATGCCTCATCCTTCAACTCTCCTGACTTTGCCTCAGCTTCTCCCTTTGTGCTGCCGAAAGTGCCCTTGAGGCTGTCTTTCACATGTTCTACACCGGTCAGTATACAGATCACCCGGAAAGAAAAGGAATAGAAACAAAGGAAGCATGGGCATACGGCCTGTCTCAATACCCTTGAGAGCTGCATCTGACGCAGTCCTATCCGCCTTCTTGAGAGTATCCTTTGTTGTGTCGGCGACACCCTTGTCTTTCTTGGTTGTGGAGGAGAGGGACCGGAAGGCAGGGACACTAAAGGCGGGCGTTGTCGTCCTTGCAGCGGAACTAGCGAGTTGAGAGGTCAAGGGAGTAACGCGCGTGAGGAATGACATGGTGATTATTATTGATAGGAGAGTTTAGAATTTAAGATTCGAGTATTCGGGTTTGTGCAAGGTCGGCGGTGCAGTAACAAATGGTAGATGCGAGTAGAGATGAATTGTATAACTCCCAGAAGTAGAGACTTGCCTCTTCTTATATCATTTGCCTCATACATACTTCTTGCATTCCTCCCATCGTCACAGCCGACGTCATGATGAGCTCTTGGACGATACGATACCGGTCAGCTGGTTACCCGATAACGTTTAGTGCATCTTCAGCAAGGCAGATGGCAGATGATCACGGGATCTAGCACGTGATGATTCCCTAATCCGGGGATATTTCGCTTGCACATGGCCAACAAGGGACATGATTTCATATGTAATCTCACCTGCCAGATTATTCGTATAACGGCTACATCACTTGTCTTACCGGTCGTACATATATAGAATACAAATTGTCTGACTCAGACGGGCACCGCACTTTATTCTTCACTTGGAACAGCCCAAATCGACCACTGGGCATGAACGGGGACCATAACCGAATTTCCTTCATGACTCACAATAATCCTTTGACAGATCCAAGACAGATTTATTGTGTTGACTAGAACCCTGCTCCATGATTCGACCTCGACCCTTCCCCGAATTGCCGAACCCCGATCAACGTTGACGCCTAGGGCAATGAACCCCGGATCGAAGTAAAGCGGCCCGGTGGAAGGACCCGTTTTACTGGGCTGATCCAGATCTTTGTGCTCTGATAGAACAGTGGTTGATGCAGGTACAATACATGCTGCAAGGACAGCTGGCTATCGCAGACATTATGACAACCCGTGTCCGTGGTCGGGCTTTCCGGGGAACATCTGCGTCCGTGTCAGAAATAGAAATTCGAGATTATTGTTCGTCAAGGCGTATTCCAGAGTTTATACGATTGCCTGGCGCTGCAGGGCATTTCTCACAGCCACAGTCGCAGAGTACGGAGTAGATGATGCTCAGTTGACCACGGACAGTAAATACCACCACCAGGGAAAGGAAAGACAGTGAAGAATAAAGAACAGAGAAACGAAAGAAAGAAATAGAATAATTACTAGCGTCGAACACTGAATCATATCCAAGGCACCTGCAGCCCTGGAAAGAGGTGAAGAGCCTTCAATTCCTAGCCTATACTCTGGACTCATGACTATGACTGGTCAGCCTGATCATCGCTCACGGGAACAATAGACGCTGCCACACTCTCTTCACTTTGTCTTTTTTTTTTTTTTTTTTTTTCCTTCTTCTATATAATCATTGGTTCTCTCTCTTTTTCTTCTTCTCTTTCTCTTCTTTATCCTCTCTGTTCTTCTGTATTTTACACCTTTTCAGATCCTGTGACTGCTTTGTGCTAATCTCCATTCCCACCCCGCAATCCATCGCATTCGCGCCTTCCTGTCACTTTCTCAAATGCGCCTCGTCGCGAATCGCCCTTTTCTCCCAGATCCCTGAAATATCTTTCGCCTCGTCTTCTTGCTTTGATTCTTACTCAGAATTCAACCCGCGCAAGAAGACATGGCGGACCCAGACAAGATCAAGCCGTACGGCCTCTCCCAGATCTACTGCTCCAAGGAGCCGCTGGTGGATATCGTCTTCGTTCATGGCCTCAACGGTCATCCTTATAACACCTGGAAGTCACAGTCGGGCATCTTTTGGCCATCAGAGCTTCTTCCCGAGGTCCTTGAACACGTTCGCATCCTCACTTATGGCTACAACGCCGAGGTAGCGGCTTTCAGAGATGGCTCTTCTCGAGACCATATCCATCACCACGCAGAGACGCTGGCCTCGGGCCTTGCCGCGAACCGAAATGTGAGTACTCTGTCTTCATGCGATCGTCGTTCCCCTTCTTCTCTTATGCTCCTTATGCTAATACTGGACGCCCTACAGCTTCGAAAATGCTCTGACCGTCCTATCATCTTCGTCTGTCATTCCCTCGGGGGCCTCGTGGTCAAGCGCACGCTCATCCACTGTCGCAACGTCATGAACGAGAAGATTGAGCATCTGCGATCCGTCTTTGTGTCCACGTACGGCATTCTCTTCCTGGGCACTCCGCACAACGGCTCTGACATGGCCAAGTGGGGTTCGCTCCTGCAGAACATCTGCAGTGCGGTTTTGCCTAGGAAGGTCATGGAGAGCTCTTCCCAGTTGATCAGTGCGCTCCAGACAGACAATGAGACCCTCCAGAACATTAACAGTCTTTTTGCAGAGATCCTACCCAGGTACCACGTTTACTTCTTCCATGAGACTCGTTCGACCGATATCAAGGGAACCCGTCAGCTCATCGTGGACGAGACCTCTGCCGCTCCTTACATCGAGGGTGTGGAACGCATGGGTATCGAGGCAGATCACAGTAGCATGTGCAAATTCGATGATGAAACTGCTCCCGGATACGAAGCGGTCGCTGAGGCAATACTGCGATACTCAGAAGCCGCTCCTGCACTCATCGCGCACCGATGGCACGAGGAGGAGAGCACCCGAGAGATGTGGAAGCACTACAAGATTGGCGAGCTTCGCGGTACAGGTATGCCTCCCTCCTTCCTTCATCTTGGTGAAATACAGTATCTGACTGGCGCAAAAGACAACACGAATGCTGGACCAGAGTATAGGGATGAACACATCGCAGGCACCGCACAAAGTGCCCAGATTACAAGTGGTAGGACCCATCTTCTCCCAGCCCCTGGATCTTCTATTACTTTGAGCCCATATGAGATTGAAGAGCGTTCGCGATCAGGATCTACTTCGTCTTTCAACAGCCATTGAGTGGTTTGTTCTTTTCTGTCTTTTGTATGAACGAAAAGGAAAAACTTGTCTTTTTTTTTTTTTTTTT